GTCAGGTTAGTCAGTTGATGAGCTCTAGGTTCATCATCTCAGAAAATAAGGTGGAGGTGCTGGAGAGATGACTCAGCAGTTAAGAGCACTGACTGCTCTTGCAGAGGACCTGGGTTTGATTCCCAGCACCCATATGATGGATAACAACTGTCCGTTGCACCAGTACCAAGGGATTCTAGCACCCACTTCTGACCTCTGCAGGCATAAGTACTGGTTTATACTTTATTCATTTACCACATTTTATAGAGCTCCTATGACCAGTCAGGTACCGTTCTTGACCCTGGGAATATGCTAGTGACCAAACTGACAAAAATTCTTGCCTACATGGAGTTTGCATCTGGCCAAAGGGGACCAAGAATAAGTGTCAGTCATGTTAGATAGTGCAGCTACTAAAGAGAAAATGTAAAGCAGAGACGGTAGATAGCAAGAGTGCTGAAATTCAGATGTGATGACCACAGTAATCAAATGCCTCATTGAGAAAAGGGCAGTTTAAAAATGAGCTAAAGAAATGAAGGTCTGAAGATACCTAGAGAAAAGGAATATGTAATGTTTCAGGAATGGTGAGGAGGGGAGCGTGGGGGACAGAGAAGTACAACAGGGAGGCACAGCAGGAAATAGTTTGATGTGTGAGTTAGGTATTCAGTCTTATAGTTCCAGCATTGAGAGCATATACATGGATTAAAGTTATGTGACTCCACTAGTGAGTGGGAATAGAGAAATGAACTCTTAGGGTACTCTGACATTTAAAAGTTAGGGATTTGAGAAGTGGTCAGCCAAGGAAACTGGAACTAAGATTTATTTCCTTCAGGATGTATTGGTATGTGAAAATCTCCATATTATTGACACAAATGTTTCTTATCTCTTGCCACTCCTTCCCTACTGCTTACAGGTTTTAGGAGTATGTCTTGAATTTTCTCTTTCTGGTTCTGTCTACATTCACTTTGTGTGTGTGTGTGTGTGTGTGTGTGTGTGTGTGTGTGTTTGTTTGTTATAGAGACTTAACCTAAGGCTTTGCACGTGCTAAGTATGTACTCTACCACTGAGTTACATCCCCAGTCCTCCATTCTTTGAACAGCCTTTCCTCTTGTTACCTGTATCTGACTAAATCCTTTATTTTGAATTTTAAGATTCAGTTCACCTAACTTCCTTTAAAGTCTGCAAGATATGGTTTAGCTCCCTCTTCTGTGACCTCCTCTGTCCTGTGACCCCATCACTCCATCCTCTATATAGATCACATGTCACATACCCTTTCCATGTTCTTGCTCCCATTGTTGCATGGGAACACTTGGCTTCTCTCTTATTTTCCCTCTGGGTTGAACTTGCTTATTTATATATCTCCACAGCAGATTGCTGTGCAGTCCCTGAGGCTCCGTGTCTTACTCATTGCTTAATATTTCATGCAAATACTTAATATTTGGTTGGAACTTAAATAAATTTTTAAATAATAAATTTGAAAAGAAATACCAAATTAATTAACCAAAATGAAGAAGAATCTGATATAAGCCCAGTCTTTGGCAACAGTGTTTAGAGTTGGATTGTAGAGCAAGGTTTTGTGAAAGAGGATGTTGTATAGGCATCAGAGGAAGTGAGAAACATGCCAGCAAGCCAAAAATTACCAGCATTTTCCAAGTAGCAGAAGGCGTTTCTAGGTGCAGTGGCTTGGTTAACTTCTTTTTCTGTTCTCTTTATTGAAAAACTGCCTGGCACACATCAAATGTCCACCAAACAGGTAGAAGCAGTACAGTGGGTTCGTTATTGGAATGTTTATTTGCACGACATTTTTTTGAAAACGTGATTGCCTTCTCATTTTTAACCAATTGTCCAGCCTCTTAGGTATTAGAATGCTTCAGCTTTTGTAGGGATGTAAATAACTGAGCAGTTTTAAGTTTATGTACTGGGTACTAGCCTTCCTGGGAGTCATAGAATTGTTATTAAACCTCAGAGAACCATAGCTGGGCAGTAGAAGGGTGGAGACAGATTGAAAAACCAAAAATTTTTTAAATTATTTATTTAATAACCACATGATTAGAAGAAGCATTTCATTACAGCATTAACATACTCAGTAAGAGTGGTTAAGGCATTGGACTCAAAAAACCAAAAAATTTTAAGGAATTTAGAGAGTAGATCCTAGAAAAAGTATTAGTAAAAATGAGGTTTCTTTGTTTTTAAGTACAGTAAACGAACACATGAGATTTGAGTGACATTTTAAAATATTTTGTAAATTTTTCTTATTAGTAAAACATTCTTTCCTGTGGCATGACCATAAATATTTACAAGGTGAGACAAGTATGCCTTCTTTATTTTCAGAAGGCAAGCCGAGCTATGTATCAAATGGGAAAGAAGTAACACTGATGGGAACAGTCATATGAAAGTGTTGCAAAGAAAACTCAAAAGTCTTTTATTATGAATGTTGTCCCCTGTGTAGTGTTCTTCATTTTAAAAGTGTTTTAAAATCCAACTAAATTTCACTTTAGAAATATATTTTCACCCTTTCATATGAAGCATTAAGCATGTGTTTTTAATAATTCACTGAAAATATGCCGAACTATATTTTTTAAAGAGAATCTGTTTGAAAAGATTCCAAAATATTTGTTTGAACAGGCACTCAACATCTCGATGAAAACGGTTGGAAAAGAAAAACTTTCAGTCATTCTGTTCTCAAAGTATCCAGGCCAACTAAACTGGTACAGTTAATGCTTCTGTCAGAGACCAGGAACCAAGAAATTTAGCACTTCCTGGACTGCTTCTCTGCAGACCTTCAAACCAACCTAGTGGTTGGTATTAATACCATTGAATTTCAGAGTAAAAAGCTACACATAAACATCTATACCTCTTTCTATCAATAGACAGAAGGTCCATTTTAGTAACCTGTGCTGTGCTTAAATATCTGCCTTATGTTAGCATTCTTGTGTTTTGTGGGGGCATTGATCCTGCAAAGGAGGGAATGCCCTCTGGAGTATAAACCTGGTTATGAGCTTTCTCCCACATACATACATACATACGTGTGTGTGTGTGTGTGTGTGTGTGTAAGTAAAGGGGGGTGGGGAGAGAGAGAGAGAGAGAGAGAGAGAGAGAGAGAGAGAAAGTATTCATTGGAGGCCAGAGATTGATGTCAAATGTCTTCTTCTTTGCACTCCATGTTATCTCTTGTGCAGGGTTTCTAAACCTGAGCTCTTTGATAGAGCTACTGGCAGGCCAGTGAGCTTTAGGGATTCACCTGTCTCTGAACTCAGATCCTCATGCTTGTTCAGGAAGTACTTTACTGACTGAACCATCACCGTAACCCCCATATACCAATTTTTTTTATTATTTTTATTTTATGTGTAGAAGTGTATTGCCTGCATGTATGTGATTGCACCCGTGTCATGCAATGCTGCGGAGGTCAGAAGAGGGCTTTGGATTCCCCTGGAACTGGAGTTAAGGATGGTTTGTAGCCGCCATGTGGGTTCTGCAAGAGCAGTCAGTGCTCTTAACCACTGAGCCATCTCTCCAGCCCTCAGATACCAATATTTTTACATTACTTTTTAGTATCACTGAGTATCACAGTAGAGATATAAATTATGTATTACATCATAATACTTTGGTGCGACTGGTAGTTTTACTAGGCTATCAAGTGTGTAAGTGGAGCTTGTTTATTCAGTCACTTGCCCATTTATTTTCATATTAAACATATTGATAGAACTTAATGCATTTGCCAATATGTTTGGTATATATAATATGTCATATTTATCTCTATGAATTTGTTTTTATAAGTTATTTTCTTATATAGTCATTGAATGAATTAGTCAATTTATAGTTGAACTGCTGTATTTAGATGCTTTCATGAAGAATAAATAACAAATGATTCAAAGATTCTTTATATTAATTACATAGAGGAGATTAAAATCAACATTTACCATTTCTCAAATATCATGAGAATTAGTTAGAAAAATGGCAGAAATTAAGATTTCAGTCACTTGGTTTTTCAGTTGCTTTCCACAAGATTAGATTAACAATGTGTCAAGAATTAATCACCATACCTTAATATATTTTAAGTTTCTTTCAGAACCATAAATGTAGCGGCATTACGTGGAAACTGTGATATCTGGTGGGTTTTTTTCCCCCATTATTTTGACCTGTGTACAGTGTCAAAGAGTAACTTATATATAGTTTGGGACACAGTGTTATCTCTGACTTCAAAGGATCTGAGACTTGGCCGAGGAATACATTGCTCCATGCAGCACTACTTTGTAGTCTTTCCATTTTGGACAATATATTACTGAAAGCTTAGAAAGCAAATGAGGGAGTTTCAGAAGACTCTAAAGGGAGTGACTGGAATTGTGGTTGAAAACTAGAATCTGTAGTTCATCAGGATATAGTCATAGAAGGAAGCACATACATAAATAATAGGATAATAGAGTGTGTTCCATGATCCAAGAAAAGTAGAATGAGGCAAACTCTTGAGTGTCCTAATGTTCCATTAGATTTGTGCTTTTGATACAAAAAAAGTGCTTGAGGTCACTAGTCATTAGTACATGAGCTGAGAAACAAGGATTTTGTTACAGGAAGTAACTTTGGCCTATGAAGGAATAGAGACTTCTTCAGCAGAGACACATTTTGTCCATAATTTCTCTGATTTAGTGCTAAAAGTATTTGAGAGACTAATCAAAGCTGTTTCTATCTAAGTTTCATTGTTAGAAACTGAGAGCTGCCAGATATTATTTTTCTTTTCTATGTTTCTTTTTAATAACTAATTCATTTTTTCTGTTATCTTTCTATTGCTAAATCCCTTAAGATTTAAGCATATTTAAAGTAAAAGCATTAAAAGACAAAAGCTGTATTCTGTGGATAGGATAATACTTCTTTTGTGACATTTTCTTTTCCCACCAAAAGTGAGAAGTGAATGCCTTGCCTTTGTGCATACCATTTCAAATGGAGGACAAGAAGTTATTCTCTGCAATGGCTGACTTCCAGAAGTTTTGCCTGAACGTTTTTTGTCAAGTATATATTCCCTTCTTTAGGCCTTTCTATATAGAGCCTACAAACCTTGTCAATGTGAATAATGTCATTCAGAGGGTTAGTGACCATGCCTCAGCGATGAACAAGAGGATTCATTACTACAGCCGACTCACCACTCCTGCAGACAAGGCACTGGTAAGAGGCAGAGCTTTGCTGGTTGTCAAAAGTTGAGTTGAAATGAACAGTAAACAACATAAACCAGGGCAACTCCCAAGTGTTGAACTTTTTGCTGGCTATATTCCAAGGACAGCATCGTGCAAAGTCTATACATCTCAGACTTGTTCAGTCTTATCTAGCCTTGCATAGAGATATTCAAAACTCTCCCTCTGTTGACAATAGCCTGGAATTTTTAAATTATTCTTAAATTCTGCTTATTTGCAATCTGAAGAGCTCTGCAGAAGACAAATTACTTTTAGAATAGCAGCTTAGATCATTAGTTAAAAACAAGATTCTGGTTAGTCCTTTCAATTTTTAAGTTTCAAATTGTAAAGGAAAAATATTTACATAAATTTTCTAAAGGAATGAGAAACTGATATATACACATACTTAATATTTTCTTATTTAGCATCATCCTTTTAGCAATAAAAATTAGACTATGCAGACATACACTGTCACAGATTTTCTTTGTTTTGTCTTATAATCAAAAAAATTATTCGGAAAGGGCTCTTAATACATTGAAGGCCAAATTTGGGTCATGAGGCCATAGTTTATGGGCCCATGATTGTCTGGAGGGTGTATTATCATTTTAGAATAAAAATATGTTAGTAATCTGCTTGCTTATAAAAGTGGTCAGATTTAAGCAACTCAGAAATTTGAACGCTTAAAGAAAAATGTTTAGGGCTGGAGAGATGGCTTAGCGGTTAAGAGCACTGACTCTTCTTGGCAGAAGACATGGGTTCGTATCCCAGCATCCACATGGTAACTAATCACTGTCTGCAACTCCAGTTCCAGGAGATCTGATGCCCTATTCTCTCTTCTCCAGGCATTGCATAACACGGGTGCACATACATGCATGTAATACATGCATACACATAGAATAAAAATAAAAAAGCAAAAAAACATTTTTAAAATAGGTATTAGTAGTGAAAAAGGAGGAAGGAACTAACCTCTAACCTTAACTAGTCATTTACCAAGGGCCAAAGAATGGATATCACTTGACCATAGCCATCTCAGTTGACTCTTATATTGGTCATGTGAGTAAACATTGAGAGCTCCTTTCTTTTTCTTTGTTTTTATTAGAGTCTCTGGTTGCCCAGGGTAGCCTCAAACTCTCAATGTGATTCATGCCTCCACTTCTCATGTGCTGGGATTATAAGCATGCACCACCATACCTGGCTTTAAGATCTCTTTTTCTAAGATCTACTAAAGTAAAGACTTCTAAAGTATATGAGTTGGATAATTTTTATGCAATTTTTATTTTGTTTATTCCCCGCCCCCAGGCTTTTCTATTAATATTGTGAAGTCTTAGTTCCATTATAGAATTGTCTAAATCTTTGAGGGTGTAGAGGTAATTTAGCATCTCATGGTCTGGTTCAGACTTTCTAGAGGCTGTGCTCTTGGAAGCTGACTTCAGCGATTCCAGCTAGGTCAGTCCAGGACTCAATGAACATCATTTGCCTGGAAATTAAGTCAGCATTGTGCACTGAATTGAAACCTTTTGTTACCAGATACTGAGATGACTAGTAAATCGAAACAGCAGAGTTAACAGTGTGAATTAGCCATCTTTAGTGAATGTGTATGAATATCCATGTTCATTTTCTGGAAAATTCCAAAATTATTTTCCCTGAAAGTATTTTTCAGAGAAAAAAAAATCACTGGTATCAGGTATTTATAGAGTTAAACTTTTTTATTTATGAAAAAAATATGTTATTGTTATTATGAACTGGTTAAGGGAAGAAAGTTGTGTGCCAGCATCTTCTTGACCTTTGCTAGTAAGCATACATCCCCATAGATCAGCATTATCAGCCTCATTGAGAGCTTAGTGAAAAGGTAGAGTACGGTGCCTTAGCAGACCTACTGAAGCATATACATCTGCATGTCTACAAGATCCCTGTGTGCATTATAGGAGCATTCAAGTTAAAAATACTGACCTCATGGCCAGGTATGGTGTTACAGGCCTTTAATCCTAGTACATGAGAGGCCAAGACAGGTGCATCTCTGTGAGATCTAGACCAGCTTGGTCTACATAGCAAGTTCCAGGCCAGCTGGAGCTACAAGGAGACTCTGTCTCAAAACATAAAAAAGAAAATACTATCCTAGACCACTGCTAGAGTGGGACCCAGCCCTATAGTTTTTCTATATCTCCTAAGAATTTGCTACCTCCCCCACTCCACGTCTTCCCATGTCCAGTTCAGACCCAGAGAACAAGCACAGGACCAGAACTGAGGTGTACACAGGATAAGTTGATTCTGCTTCCTCTTTGTGTACAGTCAGTGTGAGAACACAAGCAGAACTTTCCACTTCTTACCTAACCATGTCCCTTGTAAATTGTAATTTTATTGTTCCTCTAAATTTGCTTTGCTATAGTGAGTTTTCTTTCTCCCTGATAGGGCAATCTTGTCCTTTGTGTTTCTTTTTTCTCATGGTACAAGGCAAGAGAATCCAGACCTAAGAGAAATATAGGTAAATAAGGCAACTGAATAATTTCTGTATGTATTTGTATCTCTACAAACTAGTTGTTTACAAAGCCATACTATACAGAGCATTCAGGATAGTCTTCCTACAAAGACACCACTAGTCTAACTGCATTAAAGAAAAGGATTTAACTTTTTTGTGCCAGTTCATGCCCTTTCTTCCTCCTGAGGCCTGGTCTTTTGTCTCCTCTTTGGAGTCTTCCCCAACTATTTTAGTTCTCATTACTGTACTATAGCCTGTAATAGAGTACATCACAGAGCTGAACACTTTATTTTATCTTCTAGTCTTCTCTAATTGTGGCCAACTGGAATTTAAATGTCTTAAAGTTTGAGACTGTTATTTTACGCTCAAATGAGAAACTAGCACAGAGTTGTAAATTTACATGTAAATATTAATTATCAAAAGATTGTTGACTCATGCCAGTCATATTTTATGCCTTTAAGGACTGCCTATTCCTTAAGAACTAAACTACTCTCAGGGCAGTGTTCAGCCAGAAAACAGTGTTGTTGGTGTTGGTGATGATGATGATGTTGTTTTTTTCCCCCTCCAGAATAGAAAGGTAGAGTCAGGAAGAAAAGTAGGAGGTAGTGTGAGAAACTGGTGTATAACCTATATCTCTTCGATCATCTGCTACAACTGGTACCTCTCTATATTGACTCCTTCCCTTTGATAATATATTTACATGACTCCATCCTTAGAATCCTTGTTTTAACTTTTCATTAAGTCACTTTATGTTTCTTTTACCAAACCATTTAAAGAATAGTCTGTATTTATTATTCCTTATTTACTGTCTATTGATTAACTCCTTAGTTCTTTGTAATCTGAAATCTGTGTCTGTCTCTGCTAAAACACCTTCACCTCAGAGTTAAATCACCATTTAGTTCTTGAAAACTCCTCACTTAAGGCCAGCCTCCTCCACGGAGATTTCCTTCATTTCATTCTTTGCTTCCTCCTTTCTCTTGAGCATGAAAAGTATTTAATATTAGGCATAAATCTTTTTTAAGGACTTATTTATTTTTTATTTTTGTTTGAGTGTTTCCCTGAGAGTTTGTATGTGTACCACATGCCTGGTGCATACAGAGTCTAGAAGAAAGTGTCAGATCCCCTACAACTGGAGTTATAGACAGTCATGAGCCACCATATAGGTGCTGGGAACTGAACTGGGGACCTCTGTAGGAGCAGCAAATGTTGGTAGCAAATGTTCTTAACCACTAATTGTCTCTCCAGCCCCTAGGCATAAATTCTTACTCCTTTATATCTGCCACTACATTTGAAACAATCATTTTTAATTCATTGATTAGGGACCTATAGTGTTAATTGCTCATTATATTTAGAAATATGTCTAAAATATGTCTAAAGCTGGACGTAGTGGTATAATTTTATAAACCCAATACTCAAGTAGGTGGATCATGAATTTGAGGTGGGAAAGAAGGGAGGGAGAAAGGAGGGGAGGGAAGAAAGGAAAGAGGAGGGCAAAAGCCCAGATGTGCATTAAACAAGTTTCTCACTTAGCTGGCAGCTTTCCTATCAGGGGCCCATCAGCCAGAACCTCTCACCTGTTTCAGTGAAACATAAAACCTTAGAAGTGTGTCTGATCAGGTACTCAAATGTATAAAAAAAATTCTCTTTTGTACATTTACCTGTTGTGACATTTCTCTGTGTTTCTTTTTCACCAGATTGCTCCAGATCATGTAGTTCCAGCTCCAGAGGAGTGCTATGTGTATAGTCCACTGGGCTCTGCTTATAAACTTCAGAGTTATACTGAAGGCTATGGTAAAAATACCAGTTTAGTGACTATGTGAGTAAATCTACTTTTTGGAGTATGAGTTAAACATATTTTGAATGAAAATAACTGGTTATTTAGTTTTTGTCTAAATTAAAATGTTTGAAGAGTCTAACTTCATATTTTTACTGCTATTACTCTTTCAGCTTTATGATTTGGAATACCATGATGGGAACATCTATACTAAGTATTCCTTGGGGCATAAAACAGGTACTATCATTTTTTAGTATATTTTTATCTGAAATTTTTTAACATTTTTTTATTATGTATAGGTATGTATCTATAGAGGTATGTGCACATGAGTGCAGGTGTTCATGGAAGGCAGAGATATTGTGTTCCTCCTGGAACTGGAGTTACAGGTGGTTGTGAACCACCCAACATGGGTGCTATAAACTGAACTTTAAACTTCTACAAGAGCAGTATGTGATCTTAACTCCTGAGCCATCTCTCCAGCCCCTGAAATTTTTTTCTATACTGTAATTCCTGCATTTAAGCTAAGGCAACAAGGATCATAAGTTCAAGGCTAATTTGGGCTATGTAGTAAATTACAAGTCAGCCTGTGTATGTCCCATATGTCTCCAAAATAAGTAAGTCAACGAGTTAAATAATAACCTTAAAATTTTCCTTTTATATTTAAGCTTTAAATTGGGTAGCTATAGCTCAATGGTAGTCTGCTTGCCTAGCTTGCATGAGACTCTGGATTCAATTCCAGCACTTTAAAAGGAAAAAAATTACCACAATATTTTAAGTTTTATAATCTACATAAAATTACTCAAAAAAAGCAGATGGTTCTATTCATTTTTCCATTAATTGTCAGGTTTTTGTCATGATTATTTAGGGTAACAATATGATAATATATGAATTTATTTTTATATAATGACATGTATCCTCTATTTTTATTTGCAAACAGGCTGGATTTACCACTGGAATGTGTGTTATCATGCTGATGGGCCTTTTAACACTTTATTGCTGCTATAGAGTGGTGAAATCACGAGCTTTGATATGTAAGTGAAAATAGATTATTGACATGGGAATTAATAAGCTGTCTCCCATTGAGGCAGATGGTACTTTGTATATTCCCTGTGTGTCAGCTATCTACTTTTAGTTATCTTTTAATTTTTGTGTGTGTGCCACAGTGCACATGTGGTCAAAGGACATCTTGAGGGAATCAGTTCTCACCTTCTACCACGTGAGTCCTGGGAGTTGAACACAGATGGACAAGCTTGGTGGCAGGTGCCTTTAGCTGATGAAGTGTCATATTTTTTAAAGCTTTTAAATATGTATTATAATTTATCTATTAAGTTTGTGTGATCATGTGTGAAGACAACTTACAGAAGTCAGTTCTCTTCCTTCTACCATGTGAGTCCCAGGGATCAAACGCAGATCCTCAAGCTTGGCAATGAGTGCCCATACCCTCCAAGCCATCTCACTGGCTCCAAAATGACATATTTTTAAAATAAAGCCTTTATTGGAACTAAATTTAGAATTCTATGTTTTTTTTTTTTCTTTGAGACAGGCTCTCTCTGTATCCCCAGCTGGCCTGGAACTCACTGTGTAGACCAGGCTGCCTCCCCAGTGCTGGGATTAAAGACATGCGCCACACTCATCTTAGAATTCTATCAAGTATTGGTTACTTGTTTTTAGCTATGCATAATAGACCTAAAAGTGGAAATTATCAGTACAAAAATGAAAGTATAAGCAATCCTTAAAACAAAAAATTACCTCTACTCATCATTTTGGATCAAGGAATCTGAAAAATCTTTTTGTTTGTTTGGGTTTTTTTTTTTAAATTGGAATGCAGTAGGGGGCTGGAGAGATGACTTAACAGTTGGGAACACTTGGTGTGTTTCCAGAGGACTCTGGTTGGATATGGTATCCATAACTCCAGTTCCAGGGGATCCAATTCCCTCTTCTTGTGGCCTCTGCAGGCATTGGATGCACATGGTACACTTATACACATGCAGACAATGTACTCATACACATAAAATAAAATAACATTTTTTTTTCCAAAATTGAAATAGGGTCTTCTTCTATGGTTTGTGCTGGTTTTGATCTCATGAGTATAAATGACCATCCCACTTGAGCCTTCTGAGCAGCTGGGACTATTAATATATGCCACTATACCTTGCTGTTGGATTAGGTAATACCTTTTTTAGGACATTTCAAAGTATTTTAAGTTCAGTGTAGTGGTGCATACCTGTAATCCCAGAACCTGGGAGGCAGAAGTAGGAGTTCAAGGTCATCCTCAGCTACATAGTGAATTTAAAACTAGCTTAGGCTACATGAGACCCTCTCTTAAAAATTATTATTATTGTTATTACTATTATATAATTTTAGGACCTAAGTAGGCATGTATTTTTTTCATTCATTTTAGCATGTATAAATGAACAGACTAGGGTTTTACCTCTAGGTTTTCTGTCTTAACTAAGCAGATTCTTTAAGTCTAATCTTGGATACTTGGAAAGTATTGTTTAAAAGTCTTGAGAGAGGTCTTGTTTAAAAGTCATTCAAGTTTCCAGTTAAGTTTATTTAGCCTTTGATTTCTGTCATTTCAGTTTTGACTGAAATTGGAAGAGCTTTTTAAACAAATGTAGTAAGCACGCATCTTAATTCACACTGTCTTTTATAGTGAAAACAGCATTCCCTGAGTTTACTTGGTAAATGTTAATGAGCAGGTAAAGCCCATGTTTCTTAAACTGTTCCATACAATATAAAATGATGAACTTGCATCAATTCATTTACAAAGTCAGCACAACTCTTAATACAAAGCCTGACCGAACCAAAAAAGGAAGAAAGAAAAACACAGTTACATACACTTTATAAAGCATTATCAGATTGAATCAGCACTGTATCAAAAAATATCCTATGTTTAAAATAAACTTTATTCCAATAAGGCAAGAAGGATGTTTCATTGTTAAGAAATCCAACATAATTCTTTACATTAATAAAATAGGGTTAAAATTCACAGTGACATCAATAGATAACAAAAAAGAAGGTATTTCTTGGAGTTCAGTATCCTTTTTTACTAAAACTCTGAGTGAAAAATACTGCTTTAACATATTAAGATCTATTTATCCCTAAACCAGGACCAGCATTAGTCTACAGTGATAAAATGCTTAAAGCCATTTCCATTAAAGTCAAGAAAACATAGAGGATGCTTGTAATGACTCCCTATTATGAAGCACAACAAAAATTTAAAAACAGTGTAAAAACTTGAGAAAAGACTGAAAATTATAGCAATAAGTATTTTCCTAGAATGGTGTGACTAGTACTCTTAAAATTAATGAGAGAATCTGAAAGTTCACTCATATGAAGCCAAGGACAAAACCTAGAATTAGGAAGCAGTGAAATTTATTCCACTTACCATGGCAATAAACTCTAAAGCACTTGGAACTAAACTTTAACAAGAGAACATTCTTTTTTTTTTTTATTCAGTCACTCATTTATTCATTTAATATATATTTATGTGATGCTCACTACAACACAACACTGACAAATTAGATAGTATGACCTAGCCCAGAAAACGGGTCTTTCTGCTCCTCCATACTGCCTGTGGCTAATATATTCCAAAGAGTCAATAAAAATATTTTTGAAAGAAAATAGTGTTATAGCTCATTCAATTATTAAAAATTCCACAAATACCTCTTATTCCACATGCTGTGGAAGCTAAATATTTCCCCATCAAGAATGGAAATAGGAGAAAAATACAAACTACCTAAAAATAAGGAACAAAATCTACATAAATAAGGAAAAGCATGCCATGTTATTTGAAAGATTTAGTATCCTAAAAAATATATCAAATGTATAAATTCAGTCCAGTTTTAATGAAATTTTGTTTTGTCATTATAAGTAGAACGTTAAAGTTATATAGGCAAATTATGCTCAAGCAAACCAGGAAAATTATGAGAAAGAAAAAGAAATGTTATGGAGGAATCAGCCTTCCCAGGTATTAAAACACAGGATAAAGCCACTCTGATAAAGCAGAAAGCTACTCTTAGAAATAGCCTGAAACAAAACTGGAGGAGCTGGAGAGATGGCTCAGGGGTTAAGAGCACTTAACTGTCCAACTCTTGCACAGGATCTGGATTTGATTCACAGCACCCACATGGCAGCTTGTCTGTAACTTCAGTTCCAGGGGATTTGACACCCTCTTCTGGACTCCATGGGCACAAAGCATACATGGAGTGAGTTTTAAAGATATATTAAATAGTGTTTTCTGTTGTTTACTAATGGGCTTGCCTATTATTGGTTATCACATGCTTTTATTAATTATAAATGGTTATAATTCTATAATGTTTTTCAGATTCTTTTTTATTGATCACATTTCTTCTTCTGCTTATTCTATGACATTTTAATTGTTTTTTACATATTGTGTTATTGTATTTGTAGATAAAGTATCCATAATCTTTGGCTTAATATTTTGAGTTAATTAGGGTAGAAAAACACAAATCATAAACATTGACTGTATAATTAGCATATATTTTTATTCTTTCTCCTTATTTTTTATCTAGGTACGTCAGACACAACTACCTGGGAGTATCCAGATGTCTGCAAACACTATTTCGGCTCTTTTGGGCAGTGGTCAAGTCTCCTTTTCTCCTTGGTGTCTCTTATTGGAGCAATGATAGTCTATTGGGTGCTTATGTCTAATTTTCTTTTTAATACTGGAAAGTTTATTTTTAGTAAGTATCAATATATTGTTTAACATAGTTGCTCTCAAATACCACTGCAATATTTTAGTTCTAACCTAAAATTCTAAGACAACTTCAATCAATTCTAATTGGATTGTTCTGGAATCTGGCAAGTTAGCTGATTCTAAAATGTACCTGAAAAAGTTATAGAATACAATGCAAAACATAGAAAATAAGCTAAATCAAGTATATTTTCCAGAATTACATACTTTACTTCTTACTTCCTATATCCTGTCTTAGAGCTTGTAGGACTCTATTTCTGTATGGTCATGCCCATTCTCCCTGGCTCTTACATTCTCTATGCTCCCTCTTCTGCAATGGTCCCTCAGCCTTGGGTAGATGAAGTTTAATAAAGGGATCCTCTCCAAGGACTATTATTTACCCAATTCTTGATCGCTAGCTACACTTTGGCCATTTGTGACCTTTTGTGTTCCTTGCCCTCTGCTGCATGAGGAGCTTCATTATTGAGAACTGATTCCTTAGTATCCTCTTCTTTACCCCTGTTCTATGTTCCATGAGCCTTAGGTGTAGAGGTTGCATTGCAGATGTGTCCCTTAGGCCTGGGCAACTCATAGACAATGTCCATGTGTGACCAGTTGTGGTACTTGGTATTAGTCTCTGCTACAAAGTGAGCTTTGATGAGTGGTGACTGGGAATATTTGTAAATATAAGGATACATATTTTGCACATAGTAAGAGATCACATTAGTCTAGTGATGTGAGAGTTTGGGGGTTTTCTCTAAGATGTATGACCACTCTGGCCATGTGTATTAGGTTATGTTACAATACCACACTTGAGTTTCCTTCCTTTGAATGGGCTTTTAGTTAAATTAGGTAGCTGTTGATTGTCCCCAAGACAAAAGTGCCACTACTGCACCAATGGAGTATGCTGTGCTGGCCATTGATACAGTTATTTGGTCTTGAAGCTGGTGCTGGATCATCCGTTGATGTTTTCCCTTGGCACTTTCATAGAGTCTCCAAAGCTATGAGAGCTAACCTTCAGGGGAAGTGGCTTCCAGGTCAGTTGCAGCTCTATTTCTCCAAATCCTGTGTCCAACGTATGTTCTGTCTTGGGCAGTAGGGTCTTACCTTCAAGTTCTGGGAGGCAATCAAGGGCTGTGGTAATAGCCTGATTAATTTTGGGAGTCTCTTGGACCACCCTGGCCTACAACTCAAAGGAAGGTGTCTCTTGTCTGGCACTGTTTTTTGTTATGTAGCCTTTAGCTATATACATGGACTCTGAAAAAAATACACTGATCACTTTAATCTTTGGTTATATTTTCCTTTTGGGTGTTTAAGACCATACAGGTTGCCCAAATAAACAAATTTATTTTTACACTTAAGGTCATTTGAGTATCTCTTCCTCAGGGGTCACATGGATTTGGGAGGAGCCCCTGGCTCCTTTCTTTTACCAGTTCCATCTATGTGAAGATAAGTCAAAGTTCCTACTCGGCTGGTTTCACTTGGAAGCGTGGAGGAAATGTTTCCTCTATGTTGACCCTCCTCTTTGTAAACTGGACACTGGTTCAAGTACATCTGGTAGGGTCTCCATGGCGTCCCTGAACAAAAGGACAGGTGACTCACCACAGTTACAGAACATTTTGAGAGATGCTTCGTAGTCCCCTGGAACTTAGTCGACCTTGGAGGACAAGGACTAAAAATTGTCCTTTAAGTTCCTCTGAACAGATTAGTATAGGCCTCAAAGTATGGCTGTTAAAATCCAAGAAGGTTAGTTCCACCAGTCCTGTACTTTTAATTACCATGCACTATATAGATAAAGCTTGGACAAAAACCAAACGCTTTCAGATAAACCTTGACTAGATGTGTATTTTGTACCTTGAACTAGTTTTATGTATAATTTGTAGTAGGTTGTTGGACTAATAGAGTTCCCTCTGGTTTTTTAAAACTAGGCTTTTTCTTTCTCTTTCTGTCTAACCCTTCCACCATGATTTCCCCATTTAATGTGCCCCCGTTTTCCCCATTTCTCCCTTGATAATACCCTTCTCCTATGGTCCCACCTCTCTTGAGCTTCTTTCCCTTTATCCCCAAGGTTCCTTGTATAACCCTTCCTCCCCCTCCCATTAAAATAACCCCATTTTTATCCATATCTCCCTTAGTAACACCTGCTTCCTACTGTTCTTCTCTCTCAGATTCTTTCTTTTCCTTTACCTCCCTGGTTCCTTTTCATTATCCTGGTTCATATAGTTATGTCTGGAGACATACTTATAAGGATTTGGTGCTAGGATCCACATATGAGGGAGAACATACATCATTTTGTTTCTCTGAGTGTTACTTCACTTAGTATAATAATTTCTAGTTCTATCCATATACCTGCAAATGTCATAAAATTTCATCTTTCTTTACTGCTGAGTAGAGAACTCCATCGTATAAATGAACCACATTTTCATTATCCACTCTTCAGTTGAGGGACACTTAGGTTGCTTCCATCTCTTAGCTATTGTGAAAAGGGCAGCAATGAACATGATAGATTCATTTTTGATTTTTAAAGGGTTCTCCACACTACTTTCCATAGGGGTTGAACAAGTTTGCAATCCCACCAGCATCCTCTCCAACATTTGGTATCATTTGTTCTCTTGATCTTAGCCAGTATGACTTGGGTAAGATGAAATCTTAAAGTGGTGGGGTTTTTTTTTTTTTTTTTTTTTAGTCTTTTTGAGACAGGGTCTCCTTGTAGCCCGAGCTGTCCTGGAACTCACTATGTAAACCAGGCTGGCCTTGAAGTCACAGAGATCTGCCTGCCTCTGCCTCCCAAGTGCTGGAACTACAGCACCCGGCTTTAAAGTGGTTTTAATTTGCATTTCCCTAATTACTAACGATCTTGAACACTTTTTAAGATGCTTCTTAGCCATCCTTATTTCTTCTTTTGAGAACTCTCTGTTCAGCTCCTTAGCCCATCTTTTAATTGGGTTACTTCCTTTCTTGATTCTTTGTTTTTTGAGTTCTTTATATATTCTGGGTGTTAAACCTCTGTCAGATGTGTCGCTGGTAAAGATGTTTTTCCACTCTGTGGGCTTTCTCTTCACTTCCTTGGTTGCTTCTTTTTTTGTACAGAAGCTTTTTAGTTTAATGAAGTCCCATTTGTTGATTCTTGACTTTATTTCCTGAGCAATTGATGTCTAGTTTAGAAAATCCTTTCCTACACTATATCTTGTAGATTTTTGACAACGTTTTCTTCTAAAAATTTCAGTTTCAGGCTTCACATTGAGGTCTTTGATTCATTTTTAGTTGACTTTTGTCAAGGTGAAAGAAAGGGGTTTAATTTCATTCTTCTACAGGTGGAGATCCCGTTTTGCCAGCCTTATTTGTTGAACATGCTGTCTTTCCTCCAGTGAATGTTCTTGGCCCCTTTGTCAAATTTCAAGTGGCTGAAATTGCATTCACTCATATTTGGGTCTTCAATTTTGTTTCATTGATCCACGGGTCTATTCTTGTGTCAGTACCATGTGTTTTTTAGGACTATAGCTGTATAATATAATTTAAAATCTGGTATAGTAATCCATGCAGCATTGCTCTTAGTGCTCAGGGTTGCTTTGGCTATCCAAGGTCTTTTGTGCTTCCGTATGTATCTTAGGATGGTTTTTTTGGCATCGCATTAAATCTATAAATGGCTTTTGGGTGGATGGTCATTTTCACAATATTAATTCATCCAATCCATGAGCATGGGAGGGCCTTCCATCTTCTTGTGTCTTCCTTAATATCTTTCTTTAAAGATTTAAAATTTTCCTTGAAGAGGTTTTTGAAATCTTTGGTCAGGTGTATTTGGACGTTTTTTTTGTTTTTCTTTTCAAGGTGATGTGAAAGGGAGGGTTTCCATGTACTGTTTCCCTGATTGCTTGTTATTATTTTATAGAAAGGCTACAGACTTTTGTAGATTAATTTTGTAACCTGCACCTTTCCTGAAAGTGTTAATCATTTCTAGGAGTTTTCTGATGAAATTTTTGGCATCTCTTAGATATAATACCATATTGTCTACAAAAAAAGGATAATTTGGTCTCTCCTTTTCCAATTAGTGCTCTTTTAATTTCTGTCTCTTGTGTTATTGCTCTTGCAAGAGTTTCAAGCACTATGTTAAAAAGGAGTGGAGATAGTGGACATCCATGTCTGGTACCTGATTTTAATGAGAATTCTTTCAATTTTTCTCCATTTAGACTGAGGTTGGCTGTGGGTTTGTAGTATATGGCTTTAATTATGTTGAGGTATGTTCCCTCCAGTCCAACTCCCTCTAGCACTTGAATATAAATGCATGTTGAGTTTTGACAAAGGCCTTCTCTGCATCTACTGAGATGACCATATGGTTTTTGTCTTTGAGATCTGTCTTTTATAATAAATTAATATTGCATATAGATCTTCTTTAAATGCTGTAAATCCATCTGCTGTAAATCCATCTATTCCTGTGCTTTTTTTAGTTGGGAGGTTTTGTATTGCTGTTTCAATTTCCTTATGTGTTGTGGGTCTGTTTAAGTTGTTGACCTCTTCTTGGTTTAGTTTGGTGAGCTCATGCTTTTAGGTGCCCATCCGTTTCTTTTAGGTTTTCAAATTTAGTAGTATATAGGCTTTTAAAGTATTCCCTTATAATGTTCTGGATCTTTTTGGTGTCTGTTGGGATGTTTCCCCATTCCTCTCTGATTTTGTTGATTTGGATTAGCTCTTTCTTTCTTTTGGTTAACTTGGCTAAGGGTCTGTCTATCTTGTTCAACCTTGCAAAGAACCAGCTCTAAGGTTCACTGATTTTTTTTGATACTCTTTTCTTTGTTTCTGTTTCATTAATTTCTCCTCTTATTTTTGTTATTTCTTCTCATCTACTAGGTTTGATGTTGGTTTGTTCTTGCCTTTCCCGAGTCTTGAATTATGCTGTCAAGTCATCTCCATGTGCTGCGCTTAGAGGTGTACACTTCCCTCTAGGGACCGCTTTCAACATGTCCCAGAGGTTTTGTTGTGTTGTATTGTTCTTTTCATTTAATTCCAGGAATACTTTTATTTCTTTCTTAATTTCTCCTTTGACCCATTCATCATTCAGGAGTATGTTGTTTAATCTCCATGTGTTCATGTAGTTACTAGGGTTTCTTCCAGTGTTGATTTTAAGCTTCATTGCATTTTGGTCTGATAGAATGCATGGAATTACTTCAGTCTTTTTGTATTTGTTGAGGTTTGTTTTGTGCCCCAGTATGTGGTTGATTTTGGAGAAAGTTCCATGGGGCACTGATTAGAAAGTATATTCTTTGGTGCTTGTGTGGAATATTTGGTAGATGTTTGTTAGGTCCATTTGATGTATGGTATTGTTTAATTCAGATGTCTCTCTGTTAATTCTCTGTCCTGTTGACCTATCTAATGGAGTCAATGGGGTATTGAAGTCCCCTACTATTAATGATTTCTGATTAATCTGGGTCTTAAAGTCCTGTAGTACTGTTTTTATGATGTTGAGTGCACCAGAGTTTGGTGAATATTCATGATTGTAATATCTTCTTAGTCAATTGTTCCTTTGATCAGAATGAAGTGGCTGGCTTTATCTCTTCTGATTAGTTTTATTTTGAAGTCTATTTTGTCAGATACTAGAATTGTAACTCCTGCTTTTTTCTTAGTACCATTTTCTTGGAATATTTTTTCCATCCTTTGACCTTCAAGTAGTGCCTGTCTTTGAAAGTGAAATGGGTTTCTTGCAAACAGCAAAAAGATGGGTTTCATTTCTTAATCCATTCAACTACTCTGTGTCTTTTGACTGGGGAGTTCAGTCCATTGATATTTAAAGTTTTTAATGAAGGATGTGCATTGATGCCTGTCATTTTGATTTCCATTCGCATTTTTTATGTAACTGTGCGTTTCCACTGTTATACCTTCATTGGGTTTCTTTTTGTTACCCCTTGGGGTAAGTCATTCCTTTCTTCAGCTCTTTGTATTGCTTTAAGAACTCTCTGAAGGGCTGATTTTGTGGACATGAATTCTTTCAGCCTGTTTATGTCATGTAAGATTTTCCTTTCCTCTTCAACTATAATAGACGTTTTGGCTGGGTAAAGTAATCTGGGTTGGCATCTGGGGTCATTTAGAACTGGGAATACTTTGGCCCAGGCTCTTCTGGCTTTCATAGTTTGCACTGAAAAGTCAGGTACAATTCTGATGGGTTTTCCTTTATATGTGTCTTGTTTTTCTTTTGCAGCTTTCAATATTCTCTCTTTGTTTTATACGTTTAGTGTTTTTACTATGGTGTGCTGTGGAGAGTTTCTTTTCTGGTTCTGTCTTTTTGGAGTTCTATGTGCTTCTCGTATTTATATGGGCATGTCTTTCTTTAACTTGGGAAATTTTCTTCTATAATCCTGTTGAAGATCTAGTTCATACCCATTATCCTGAGATTCTTCTCCTTCCTCTATGCCTATGATGTGTAAGTTTGGTCTTTTTATGGTGCCACACAGTTCCTGTGTATTCCAGTCTTGTGTTTTCTTAAATTTTTCATAATCTTTGCTTGAGTGGTCTAATTTGTCCACTTTATCTTCCAGTCTTGATATTTTGTTTTTCATTTCATTCATCCTATTGGTAAGGCTTTCGCCAGTCATTTCTAATTGGCTTATTGAGTGTTTCACTTCCTTCTTCATTTCAGCCTGAGTATTCCTCAATATTCTAACTCTTTTCTGAATTCATTCAGAAGTTTATTCCTATCTTCTTTCAGTTCTTTGATTTGTGTGTTCTTTAAATTCATTGATTTCTTTTGTCATGTTTATAATTCTTTTGAATTCCATGTCCTGTGTTATCTCTAGGGGTTTCTCATTATACTCCTCTATAGGACTGTTGGTACTTGGTGAGGATATATTATTTGGGTTTTTCATGTTATTTTTTCGCTCTGACTTTGACATGTGGATTTCTTTTGTAGTTTCTTATTCTTATGTGTGGCTCAAGCCTTCCTTTGTTGAGTTTAGGTCTGCTTTTCTTTGTAAACTTTATGTGCCTTTGTGGTTTACTTGTTGGGCATGAAAAGCTGGTTGGTGTACGCTTCAGGTTCTCTCTTTTGATTTTATATTGGAGGGGCCAGATGGGTTTAGTCCTGTTGCTCAAGATTTCCCCCAGAGGCCCAAGTCAGATGAGGATCAGATGCTCTTAGGCTTTCTCCTGAGGTCTGGATCCCTTTAGTCAGCAGTAACAGTACAATTTGTGAGGATTTCTAGGTAGAGGTAGGATTCAGGACTCTCAGATAGTCAGGGAAGGAGGCTGGTCTCAGGAATCCAGAGGAAGCAGGGAAGGAAGCTGGTCTCAGGAATCCAGGTTGGGGGTGGGACAGCCCAGGATGAAAGCAGGTCTCAGGTATGGATAGGCAAGGTGGGGGAAGGGGACAGGCTTTGAGGACACCAAGGGACTAGACTGAGGAATTGGGTTGGTCTGGGTGCAAAGGATCAGGAAGCAGTGAGGAATTTAGGCCAAGAGGGTAGTTCAGAAGTCTGGGATGCCAAGAGAAGAAATGGGCCAGTGCCCTTGCTAGGAGGAAAGATGGGGTGGGGGAGCTAGGAGCATGAATGAGGTTGTGGGAGTCTTCAGCAGCTCTTCTAAGCATAGTAATTACTATACAATCTTAGGTTTATACACACATGCTCTGGACCTTAGGAAATTTTAAATGATTTTCCAATTGGTTTGGCTGTGTAATTGTTGGCTTTCCGTTTGGGCATATTTTAAAGTCTTACATAAAATATAGATGTATTTACATGTTAGTGTGAGTATAGGCAAAAAATCACGTTATTTTCCTTCTAGACTTTTTAACTACCATTCATTCAGCCTTGTAAGTAGGTTTTTTTTTTTTTTTAAAAAAATCTTGAATTATATAAAGTTTTTCCACCATGGGACCAATAAGCCAATGACATTATCATTTCTATAAGCAAAGCAAACTAGAAGGTGAAACTACTTTACTATGAAGTGTTTGGGTTCAGTGTGCTCAATATTATATATAGTAAAAATCTGTTTTATAAACAAAGACTTCAGATGGTGATAGGATTAGCATCTTTAATTCATTATTTAAACTATATGTTTGTCTTTAATTTTTAGATTTTATTCATCACATTAATGATACAGACACTATACTGAGAACCAATAATAGCAACCCTGGTAAGTAGCTCAGAATTGTTTCTTTATTTCCCATCCTGCTCCAAAAAGGCTTAAAAAATAGAACCTATGACCCCATTTTAGGTAAATGGTGAGGGGAAAATTGTTAACATTATGTTACTAAATTGTTGGTAATCAGTGTGTTTCAAAATAGGTAAACTCCAGAAAGGATTGTGTTAATGTGAGCTAGGCACTATTTAGTTCATATAGGTTGGGCATTCCTAACTGAAAGATCTGAAATTTGAAATGCTCCAAAATGAGATGGCCAAGAGGGCTGGGAATGTAGGATACATGAGGCCCTGAGGTGATCCTCAGCACTGCAAAAACAAAACAAAACCAAAATTAGAGTCATGATGTGTAAGCTAGTAAGGTCTACACAAATATTCTAAGATCTGAAATACTTCTAGTATAAGCATTTCAGATAAGAAATACTCAGCCTGTCTTATATAGCTTTGGACTGTATCCAAAGTATCCATATTTGCCTATGAATCATCAATATTTTCAAGAACTGTTTTCACTTCTAATTGTGTTGGATGTCTAGAAGCATAGTTGTCAGGTTTTTGGTGGTGCTATTGTGGCTGCAAGTATGGTTGTTGTTACAGCTGCAGTTGCTGCTGTTGTTTGCAATTCTGGGAGTCAAACTCAGGGCCTCCCACATGCTAGGCACTCTCTTGCTGAGCTATATCCCCAGCCCTCAGTTTGTTAACTTCATTTTAGATGTGTATTGCTAACATGAAAGCTATACTCATTTATAGCATAAAAATAACTTCCTGATAATATACAGAGACTAATAAGTAAATATGGAAAAATAAGTTGAAACTGGCTCCAAAATAGCCCAATTTCTTAGTAAAGTTTCATTTATTTATTAAAAATAAATGCTTGGCTATGATTTAATGGTAGAGCATCTGCCTAGCATATGAGAGGCCCTAGTTTTGATCCCAGAACCATTTAAAAAAGGTTTTTTAGAAAGTCATAAAAATAGGACCAGTGGGATGGCTCTGAAAGTAATGGTGCTTGTTGCCAAGCCCGACAACCTGAATTTGATCTTGGGGACCCACATGGTGGAAGAAAAAAACTGATTCCTGCGAGTTGTCCTCTGACCTCCATACACTTGCTATGACATGCACATTCACATTCACAATAAATAAATAGATAGATAGATAGATAGATAGATAGATAGATAGATAGATAGATAGATAGATAGATAGATAGATAAATAGATAAATAGATAAATAGATAGATAGATAGATAGATAGATAGATAGATAGTAGATAAATAAATAAATAAATAAATGTTGAGAGGAGGAGGAAGAAGAGGAAAAAAAGAAAGAGAAAAAAAAACCATAGTTCTTAGGCTATCATCTAGACTCTTGGGCTACTAGCAAATGTGATAGACCCTAGAATTGCTTTGGATTGCTAGAATCCAAGGTTCCATTTTCATCAGTGATCGGGTTTTGATGTGGTACCATGGCAGCTTTTTCAGGTATTTCTACTTTTAATTCCTTATGGCATAAATTTTATTTTTTATTAAATAAAAAGAAGAAGAGAAATTGACAAGATGACTCAACAAGTAAAGGTACTTGCCACTAAGCCTGACAACCTGAATTTGATCCCCAAGACCCACTTGGTGGAAAGAGATAACTGAATCTGGAGTGTTGTCTCTCTGACCTCCACATGTGTGCTGTGATGCACACACATAAGCACATGTGCACACACAGATTAATTTATTAGTGTAATAACATTTTAAAGAAAAAGTCTGTTTGGCCTTTGTATTAGTACAACAATCACTCTGAATGATATTTCTTATATTATTTTATAAATACAATGAGATATCAACCCAGTATTTTCTGTCCAGCAATGGGGCCAACAAATATTTGATGGACTCTGTCTCTTATTTTTAGTACAAAATTTTCTAAGATCCCCTCACCTTTCATTATTTATATGTAGGTGAAAGATTCCTAATGTACCTACATATGCATTTGTTGTCATAGTTGAGCAAGTGTCAGTCTCTGTGCACATTGATTTTTCTGGGTTTTGTGGTCTTCTCTAATATGGCATTTTACTGTTGCAGTGATTTGTCCAAGTGCTGGGAGTGGCAGCCATCCTGACAACAGCTCCATGATCTTCTACACTAATGATACAGAGGTCCAACAGTTTGAAAAGTGGTGGAATAAGTCCAAGACAGTGCCTTTCTACCTTATAGGACTTCTCTTGCCACTGCTCAATTTCAAATCTCCTTCGTTTTTTTCGAAGTTTAATATCCTAGGTAAGGCATGATGTTGCACTGTGGAACATGATGTTGCACCTGGAACCTTATTAGTCTGACCAGGGAGAGTTGCCTTCCAGCCTGTTCATTTGTGTTTAATTCATTCGATCATATGACACCCTGTTTTAAAAAAAAAAAAATTTTGTGTACAAGTGTTTTGTCTGCATGTATATAATAAGTACAGCTATGCATGCAATACCCACAGAAGCTAGAAGAGGGTGTCAGATCTTCTGGAACTGGAGTTATAGATGATTGTTAGCCACCATGTGGGTTCTGGAAACTGACTCTGGGTCCTTTGCAAGAGTAGCCAGTTTCATCTTAACTACTGAGCTATCTCTCCAGCCCCAACACCCTGCTTTTCTTTGCTCTGTATTTTCTGTGAAGGTTGGCACAAAAAAATGTAGATGACCATTACAGCTTCCTTTTTGCTGTTATTTTGTTTTGTTTTGGTTTTTGTGACATGAGTTACTAGGTTTCCCATTCTAGTCTTATTTCTTGTCAGAATACAGCTAGAGGAAATAAAAAATTTGAGGAAGAATCACATGGAAACACTGGAACCTGCTAAAGGAAATTATAGAATTCTCATCCTGGGATCCATTTAAGAGTATATTATACAGCCAGGCGTGGCGGCATATGCCTTTAGTCCCAGCACTTGGGAGGCAGAGGCAGGTGGATCTCTGTGAGTTCAAGGCCAGCCTGGTCTACATAGTGAGTTCCAGGACAGCTGGGACTACAGGGAGACCCTGTCTCAAAAAGACCCCCCAAAAAAAGGTATATTATGTAACCAGGCATGGTAACACATACCAGTAATCCTAGCACTGGGGAGGTAGAGGCAGAAGGATCAGGAATTCAAGGTTATCCTTGGCTACACTGAGAGTTTGAACTACATAAGACCATTGAGAGGGGGAGTACTGCACAAATTCTCATCCAAGTTTAAACTTAGGAGATACTTCTGTAGCTCATTTTTTTTTTTTCTGATTGATTGATTGATACAGTCCTGGGGATCAAATTCAGAGCCTTAAAAACAAAAACAAACAAAAACCAGGCCCTTGTACATTCTGGCCACATACTCTACTACTGTGTCACTCCCTGCCCTAGGTTTATTATGCTTTTCTCAATTCCTCAGGTTGTTTTCTCACTGCACTATTTCCTCCTTAAAGGAATAGATCTCTTTCAGAAATCACTGAAGGTCTGATTTTCAGAAATCACTGAAGGACTATTTTTCAGAACCTTGTTTTTTAGAAATCACTGAAGGACTATTTTTGACCCTATTTAAGTTGACAAAAAGAGTCCCTGGTGAAAGCTCAAAGCTGGTTAACTAAAGAAAATACAAGGATACAACTTATAAAGAATTATTAGGTCCAAACAGACTGTAGAATTTTAACTCCTCGCTATAGATCTCCAGGTAGTCAGCTGGTAGTATACAATAATCAAATTATCCATCACATCAAGGAACTAGGAGGTACAGATCCAAAATATAGATGGATTCCCAGGCAATAAAAGGAAAGGGCAGATAATTCTCTATGCCTGTCTGCCACAGAGCAGGGTTCTCTGTAATCTATCTAGCCTAAACGCAGAGAGAATGAAGAACTCTGTTACATAAGCTCGGCTGTTTTCATCCATTCTGAATCAGCTCATCTCTAAACCCACAGTCCAGCTTATAGAGCTCATTTGTGGTTTCCTGATGTACTTGCCCACTTTCCAGTGGAACAAGTCTTTCAAAAGCATATAAACTTATAGAAGAATTTGCTCAGTGGGCACAGCCATCATCAGACTTCCAACCAGATTGGTTATTCTCCAGCTTCTTAAGGATGTTTTGCTTTTGTCCTTTTCTTTGATATTTTCCCCTTTAGAACTGTAACTCTAGCAACATTAGTTTCTAGGGCATTCAGAAACATAAGCTCTGACTATGCTCCATAATGTCTATATTTACTTCCTCAAGGAATAATTCTGGGCTGAGGATGTAGCTCAGTAAGTGATTACTTGCCTAGCATGTACCAGCAAAGTTCTGAGTTTGATTCCCAATACAGCAAAATCAATTTTAAATATTGAACAGTAATAATCCTCTAACGTCTACATTACTGAAAACTGTATAACCAGAGCTTCAGGTAGCTACTAACTTGATTGTTCATGGCTTATTTGGTTTATGAGCATCTCTCTAAAATGTTTATTATTTACATTTACTACCTTTCTTTTCTTTTTTCTTTTTATATTTTTAAAATTTTTATTTTATGTGTATGAATGTTTCCCTGAATGTATGTTTGTGCATCACATGTGTATCTGGTGCCCACAGAGGCCAGAAGTGGGCACCAGATCCCTGGAACATGGTAGTTGTAAGCAACTATGTGGTGGTGGGAACTGAGCCCAGGTCTTCTGCAAGAGCAGAAAATGCCCTTAGCCACTGAGTCATCTCTCCCAGCCCCCTTTCTTTTCTTTTCTTTTCCTTTTCTTTTCTTCTTTCCTTTTTGGTTTTTGTTTTTTTGATGTCTTCATGGCTTTTTATTTGTTTGTTTGTTTATTTATTATTTATTGAGACAGGGTCTCACTATGTAGCTCTGGCTGCTAGAACTGGCTATGTAGATCAGGCTGGCCTAAAACTCCCAGAGAGCCACCTGCCTCTGCCTTCAGTGCTGGGATTAAAGATGTGCACCACCACACCTGGTCTCAGCCCCTTTACTTTCTTATCTCGTATTTACTACTGTGATAGACTTTTCCAGTTTATTGGGTGTCTCCCAATACCTAAAATAAAATAAAAGCTAGTGTCATTTTTTTTTCTTGTGTAACTTGAAAGTTTTGTAATGGACTCTACTTGTTTCTTCTACCAGATTCATAAATAAACTAAGCAGTTTCCATTCAGCAACACGAGGTTCCTTGATCTGGATTTTCTTAGGCTTACTAAGCGTAGTGTTTTGTTTCATTTTCTAATAACTCATCAGGCTAATTTCTTTTCTTTAGAGTTCAGCTAGGCTTTAAAAGTGAGATTAATCAATGAAGATAATAATTTTTCCACAGTCTTGATTTTTAAAGTAGTCTGTACAACACACAAAGATAATAAATGGTTTCTGGGGGCTTTTCTGTTTTTGTTTTTTTTTTCTTACAGGTACAGTATCTGTTCTCTATTTGATTTTTCTTGTTACCTTGAAGGCTATTCGCTTGGGATTTCATTTGGAATTTCATTGGTTTGTGCCAACAGAATTTTTTGTACCAGGTGAGTTGTTTGGCAAAATAGAAAATAAGTGAATTATAATGTGTTCTGTAAGTTAACTATTATCATATGTTATTCTAAAACAAATGCAAGATGAATGTGATAACTCTGGCTTGTAATTCTAGCACTTGGGAGGCTAAGACAGGATTGCCATGAGTTCTAGGCCAGCCTGGGCTGTACAGTGAGTACCTGTCTCAAAAAAAAAACAAAACCAAAAATGAATAAGTAAAACAGCAGTGCTATCTGCATATTTTTATTATTGCTGTTACAAAAACAGGACTAAAATTGAGATTTCTGTAGATTTCGTGCAGCTAGTGAGCAATAACCAGAGCTTGATACCATTTTCTACTTGACACCCGAAGTTCATTTCATTTATAATGCAGTTGAAACATCAAGAACTCATTCTCTAGACCTTCCTAAGGAACAGACACTTAGAATGGCAGAGGCTCAGAACATAGTGCTGCATGGCCGTAATGCTGCCCATTAAAAATCATTGTTCCTCATATGGGTTTTTCTCTTTTTTACTATTACTGTTTTTCAGGCTAAAATTGATTATTAAACTGTTTCTTTCCCCTCCTTTGTTGGTCAGAGGATTATAACTTGGCAATTTTAACTTGGCAATTTAGTTTTTACCCAATTTAGAATACGGGGGACATGATAGAAGTACACAAATAAGAAGCGAGGTTGAAAACTGGAAGTGATACAAATATCTTGAAAACTAATTATGAGAAAATAGTATACAATTCTGTTGTTGGTTTAGAAAGACCGCTTTTTTTCCATTCTTTAGCCATTGATTCAGGTTGCTAGAATTTCAAGTCACTATTTAGTATCTAGTGTTACTTCCTGAAATGTGTAGTTGAAGTTTTCTATCTCCCTATTTCTCGCTTTGTTAAAATAGTCCAGGTTTTCAAAATACATGGAGTAAATAATCATTGGAAGTTGTTGTTTATGTTACCTTGGCTACTTGTTTTCAGAATATTTAATAATATTTGATTTTTCATTTATATTAGAAGTCCACAAAGACTAAATTCAGTCAAGTAGATTCAGGATGGGGCTGGAGAGATGTCCCAACAGTTAAGAGCACTGGTTTCTCTTGCAGAGGATCCAGGTTTGATTCCCAGCACCCACATTGTGGCTAACAACTGTCCATAACTCCAGTTCCAGGAGAGCTGACACCATCTTCTGGCCTCTGCGGGGCATTGCACACACATGGTGCACTTGCATACATGTAGACAAAACACTCATACACATAAAAATAAATAAAATATTTAAAAATAAGTAAATAAACTTTAAAAAAATAAGTAAATAGGGAAAGGATAAGCAATTATTTGGGAAACAGTAAAGAAAAATACTAAAATAAATGGAAAGTCATTCATTTCATTTAGCTTCAAATTTAAATGTTATGAAGGGGAAATTATAAGGATTAAACAAGGTTTATTTTCATAGTTAGGGTCCTAAAATTACTCTATTGTTATTAAATAATTTCTTAAGAATGAAAATGTGCCTTACATGTTTTCTGCAGAGATTAATTAAAAATCAGAATATTGGAGAGGATGAGGCTTTACGGACTAAGTAGAAGTCACATAATCTTCCAGTTCTGGTGGAATATTTGCTTATGTATTCTCATTTCTTTTTAAATTTTTAAATTACATTTGTTTATTTATTGGAAGGGTGCACAACATACATGTAGAGGTCAGAGGACAACTTACAGGAGTCAATTCTCTTTCCACTCTGTGATCCCTAGTGATCGAATTCAATTCATCAGGCTGAGCAACAGGTACCTTTAGCCACTGAGCATCTTGCTGGTCCTGTATTATTATTTCTAAAATTCCACTTTTTAGTTAATCCCATCATCAGCCTTTCTTCCAGGTAGTTGGTAAAATAAATATATACTACTACTACATGTTTTATTCTACTCTTTCTTGTCTACTCAAATACTTTACTTTTTATACTTAGCCATTTCTTTTCTCCTAAACATGTTCATGTTTCCTCTCCTGAGCTATGCCTGTCCATATAGAAACTTACCTCCCAATCTAAGAAAGAAAACTTGATGTGGTCCCATATCAGACTCTAACTATTGCCTCCCTATAAAGAAACTTTTTAGAAGAGTTGCTTGTACTCACTCTCCAACTCCTTTGATTTTGCCATGAATTTTCTGCTGTCAGGCTTTTGCCCCAGCCACCCTGCTGTCATCAGTGATTCTTCCTTGCTAAATAGAATGACCAGTCCTCACTCCTTGTATACAACCTGTCAGTAGCACAGAGCATAACTGGTCATTCCTTCCATTTTATCACACTCTCTTTACTTCCAAAACTCCATTCTTTCTTCAATGTAACTGACTTCTCTTCAAATTTCTGATCCCTAAATGATAGAGTAATCCAAGCATTTAAGCCTCTTTTCTCCGTCCTTATCCCCTAAGTATACCATGTAGTCAACTGGCTTTATACATTGGCTTATGGTAACCTGTACCAGCACTCATATGGTAGCATTTATCTGATGGCTAAAACAATTAACACAATTGTTTGCTTAGGCAGGGTCTCTCTATGTAGCCGAGACTAGCCTCAAACTTAAGACCATACATAGTCTTGCCTTGGTCTCCTCAGTGCTGGGATTGTAGGCATGTGTCACCATGCCCAGCAAGTTAATGCCTTTTCATATATGTTCATTGGACATTTGGATTTGTTCTTTTGTGGTGTTCTTCTTTAAATCATTTTCCATTTTTCTATTTGTCTTTTTTAGTTGATTTGCAGTTCTTTATATATTTTAGATAAGAGTCAGATGTATGTATTGAAATTTATCTTCTCCAACTACCTCCTAGTATTTGGAATAAAACACAGGCCTTGCACATGCTAGGCCAACACTACCACTAAGCTCCTTCCCCAGCCTTGGCTTGCATTCTCTCTTGAAAATGCCAAAAGAATAAAGTAAGTATTTTAAAAATGATCCGAAGTTTAGGACTTCTTTAAATCTTTTTGTGAATTTACTTGTCTTCTTTAATTAATTTCTAACAATTGTGATATAAATATTATGTTCCTTGGAATGGCTTATTCCCCCATAAAAAGTTGTATTTTTTTTTTCTTCAGTCTTTTTTGAGACAAGGTCTCCCTGTAGCTGCAGCTGGCCTGGATTAGCTAATGGGGACTAGGCTGGCCTCGAACTCACAGAGATCCACCTGCCTCTGCCTCCCAAGTGCTGGGATTAAAGGCCTGCACCACCACGCCCAGCAACATTATTCATAGTAATCAAAGTAGAAGCAACCCAATGTCTGTCTCTAATGAGTGTGTAAAGTGTGATGTATACATACAGTGGAATAGTATTCACAATAGAAAGGAGTATAGTACTGTGATTATGACCACACATTCAACTCTGAATATACTAAAACACTATTCACTGTATGAGTAAAATAGATATAAATTATATTTTAATAATACTTAAAGAATCTCAGGTTTAAAAAAAAATATTCAAAAAGTATTTTTGTTAATTGCAAAGCCTTAATTTGTAAGGGATCAAGTTCACAATGTGTCTTAGATAGAGACTGATTGCTCTGAGAAACAGAAAAGGTCAGTCAAATTGAAAACTAATAGATCTTAACCAAAACCAGTAGATCTTAACTCTAAAAATAGTTTTAAGTAGAATTTTGACTATATCTATGGCTGAGAGTCCTTCAGTTCATAAATAGTGTTCTTTTTTGTTACATGAGACATTACCCATTGCCCTCCAAGAGGTTATAGTTGAGCAGTAAGACAGTTTGTGAGTTAACACTCATAATATGAAGATATGCACAAGAGATACTGAAGTACAGAGGAAATGCATATAAATGAGAAGGGGCAAAGAGATCTCAGAATGAATCTGTTAAGGGCCAGAAGGAGTGCTGTAAATAAGAAACTGGAGAATTCTCTGGATATGCTGTCAACAGTTAAGGCCTGAAGTAACGTCACTTGTTTAGGAAATTATGAGAATTTGAATGGCTCAAGTGAAATAGTACTTTTGAGAAAACTGTAGGAAATAAGTATTAAGAGGCAAAAGCTAGATTGAAAAGCCTTCTCTTTTTAGCTAAAAATAACTTTGGAGGCCACATGACTTTCTCCAGATTCCTCCACTTGGAAGATAGGCTTTTGTGTCTTCAGGAGACAAGTAGTCTAAAGGAAGAATAGTCCTATAGTTCCCGGCATGAAAATAGAATGCATAATGAAGCTGTCATGGTTAAATGCTATCAGGAGAAGAAAGAGGATGAGGTCAGAGGTGCTGTTCCCTAATTTAGTCTCTGAGTCAACAGACTATCTAGCAAAACAATGATAGTGAAACCTCTATTGGAACCTTGGGCTCAGTTAGTACAGTGCTTGCTAATATGCAAGAGATCCTGGATCTACATAGGCCAGCTGGGGCTGCAGGGAGACCTGGTCTCAAAAAAAAAAAAAATCAAGTAAATTGATTATCTGCATATAATTTTGTCATCTTTTCGAAAATAGTGCTTTTATAATCATGTAAGTATAATTCTGATGTTAGAGTGATCTCAAATTATCAGAAGATTTTTTTTTAAAAAATGGAAATTTCCTCTAATTTATTACTAAAATGATTAAAAAAAAAAAAAAAAAAAAACTAGCAAAGGAAGAATTTGCCCAAGAGAAATGTGCAGTGAATTACATCCATAGATAAAAGATATAGATGAAAGCTAACAGAAACAAACATCATAGAGAATAGAGTAAACCAGGCATGGTGACTCATGCCTGTAATCTCTGTACTTAGGAGGCTGAGGCAGCAGGAAAATTTAAAAAGGAAAACAAATGCCAGGCCTGGTGGCACACATCTTTAATCCCAGCACTTGGGAGGCAGAGGCAGGCAGATCTTTGTGAGTTCCAGGCCAGCCTGGTCTACATAGTGAGTTCCAGGACAGCTGGGGCTACAGGGAGACCCTGTCTCAAAAAAGAGAAAAAAAAAAAAAAAAAAAAAAAAAAAGGAAAAGGAATATAATTTTGTTGCCTTTACCTCCTGACTTCACTTAGAGCTGGTGCTTGACTCTAGTTGTTCTCACTTCCTTTCCTGAAACTGTACAGGGAAGAGTCCATGGGCTTCTCCATTTCTGTTCTTTACACTAAGCTGTCCCAAGAGACGGTTCACTTTGCCACGTGCTTTCCCTCAACCCAGAAGTGTTGTCAAGTAAATTAAGGACTAATTCCATATTAAATTTTTTTACATTATTGTAGACCTCAAAACAGAAATTGGCAATGGTTGTAAAATGTTATTTTTTAAAGTATCTATTACAGAAAATTTAGAAAATATAGATGAGTGGTTAATTTAAAATAAATCCTATCAAACAGGGATAACCACCATTTATATTTTTGTCAACCTCTCTCCAATCTTATTTTTTTTGCATTCATGATCTATATATATATACATGTAAACTTTAAAAAGTAAAAGTGAGACTGAAGAGATGGCTCAGCAGTTTAGAGCACTCGGTGCTCTTGCCGAGGACCCAGGTTCGATTTCCAGTGCCTACATGGAGGCTAACAACCATCCTAACTCCAGTTCCATGGAATCTGACGTCCTCTTCTGACCTCTGAGGGCACTGTACAATACCAGTGCATTTACATACATGAAGGCATTACAGGTGTACATATAAAATAAAAATAAAATATTAAAAATAAAGGCAAAATCATTCCAGACTTGCTATTTGACTCATAAGCATTTACTATAGCATTAATATTTCTCAACATTCAATTATTAAGTTATCAACATAATTTTTTTAATTTTATGTGTTTGAGAGTTTTGCCTGTATGTAACCCTGCACCACATGTGTGCAGTGCCCATGGAGGCCAGAAGAGCATCAGATCTCCTGGACCTGGAGTTACAGATGGTTGTTAACTGCTATGTGGGTGCTGGGAACCAATCCCTGGGTCCTCTGTGAGAGGAGCCATTGTTCTTAACCACTAAGCCATCTCTCCAAGCCCTCAACAACATAATCTTTAAATACTGTATCCCACTGCAAAACCATGTCTTAGTTCAACCAGTCTCCCTTAAGTGGGCATTTATTTGTAATCTTTTTAAGCAATGCAGTTTAGATTTGTCATCTGAGCATTTTAAATGACTAATTCTCCCCTCTGGGATTCTTTTACCAGAGATACTTTTCTGGAAAATTCGGGATTTTAGTCAGACTCAATTTGAATCCCATTCTGGCACGTTCTAGTTGTGGGATCTCAACAAGGAATAACATGAAAGTTACAGAATATATGTTCCTTGATTCCTTTTATTTCTCTTGTAAGTGCCTTGACCAAGTACAGTGCTGACCTTGGAGACTTTATAAACATTTTAATGTTCTTATTCCCTGGGCAAAGCAGAGGCAACTGATGTTATTGGCTGCTAATACTCATTTTCTACTTGCCAGTTCTTAACGTTTTTGTTTTTATCTCTTTCTCCTAGAGATAAGATTTCAGTTTCCACAGCTGACTGGAGTGCTTACTCTTGCTTTCTTTATTCATAATTGTATTATCACACTCTTGAAAAACAACAGGAATCAAGAAAATAATGTGAGTAGTTATCTGAGAAATTGACTTTGGTATTTCCTAAGGATAGACTTCAATGAATGTTTGAAACATTTTCTATTTGGAGTACAATTATGCAATTTGTTTCTGCATCTTAATTTTTTTTTTCTTGAGACAGGGTCTCATTATGTAGCCCTGGCTAGCTCTGCTAACCTGGAACTCACTATGTAGACCAGACTGGCCTCAAACTCAAAGATATCTGCCTCTGCCTCTTGAGTGCTAGGATTAAAGATATGCACCACCATGCCCAACTCTACATCTTAATTTTGAAGCTTAAATTATAAATCAGTGATCAGCAAGCTTCTGAAAATTTTAGGTAGTATTTTGGGCTTTGCAGGCTATATGGTCTTATTACAGTTACCCATCTCTGCTCTTGTGACATGAAAGCAGCCATAGAAACTAAACAAATGTGTAGTGGCTGTGTTTCAGTAAACTTTATTAATAAAAATAGACAATGGGTCATATTTGACCTATAAGCCATAGTTTGACAATCTCTGCTACTGATAATCTACTAAACAGAAAATAAAGAAGTATAACTAATAAACCACTAATGTTAGTAAAAAATTTTAAAAGATCCTAAAGACAGAAAAAAAGGAAACAGAGAACAGATGTGACAAAGAAAATAAATAGCAAAATTACAGATTTAAACCCAATTGCATTGATATTACACGACATATAAATCCAATTAAAAGATAGAAATTGTCAGATTTATTAAAAATGAAATCTGATTACATGATACTGTTAAGAAATTTACTTTAGGGGCTGGAGAGATGGCTCAGTGGTTAAGAACACTGGCTGTTCTTACAGAAGACCTGGGTTCGAATCCCAGCACCCACATGGCAGCTAACAACTGTCTGTCCTCCGCAGGCATTGCATGACACAGGTGCACTTACCTACATGCAGGCAATACACACATACACATAAAAATAATAAATAAAATATAAAAGAAAAAAGAAATTTACTTTAAATATAAAGACATGTCCTAAATACTAACTATAAGAAAAAGAGTCAAAGAAAAGGAGCATAATTTTGTCTTTTCTTTCATGGTGTATGTTTGTATTCAAATTTATGCATATTGAGGTAGCAGGAATCATTTCTGTGGTCTATGAGTCCAATTAGTGTTGTTCCTTTTAGTCAGTGATTGTGAAAGTTGCCATTCCTTTTTTATTCCATTGACCAGTAGTGCAGTGAGAATTGGATGACTGGACACTGATTTGTTGGATATGCTGAATGAGATAGTACCATTAGTCTTCATTATAACTACTTTTTATTTTGTTTAAAATGCTCTAATTTTTGAGGCTAGAGAGATTGCTTAGGGGTTAAGAACACTTGCTGTTCTTCCAGAGGACCTGAGTTTGAGTCACAGCACTCACTTGATGGCTAACAACCTTCCATAACTCCAGTACCAGGGGATCCAACACCCTCTTCTGGCCTCTGCAGGCATTGCATGTACGTGGTTCACTTAACATACATTCAGGCAATACACTCATGCACATAAAATAAAAATAACAAATTTCTTATTTTCTAATAAAACTTTTAAAGAGTAGAGCATCTGTATTAACAAAACACAACTAGTTTTCCAGAGATAAAGAGGAATAATTATGTAATGATTCTTGTGGATCAGTTCATGAAGTATAATAATCCTAAATCTATCTTTACCCAGTGATAGAAATTTAAATTAAGTGAAGTGGGCCAGTGAGGTAGCTCAGTGAATAAAGATATTTCCACCAAGTCTGATAACCTAAGTTCTATCCCTGGGGCCCACATGGTGGAAGGAGAAAGCTAATGCCCCACAAGTTGTCCTCTGACCTTCACATGCATGTCGTGGCATGAATACTCCTAAGAGTGCATGTACATGTGTGCACACAAAGATAAATATAATAAAAAATAAATGAAGTAAAGGTTGAAAAACTGAATATTGGAGCTAAAAAGATAGTTCAGCAGTTAAGAGCACTGCCTGTTCTTGCAGAAGACCTCTTGATATTTCTACATTGTGTTTGAATCAGAACTTGTACAGTGCCTTTTGTTGAGTTTTGTTGTGTTCGTTTAGTTTTACTGCCCTGCTTTGTTCTGTAAAGTGATTTGCAGTACCTTATTTCTTAATTTGCTGCTTCTTTTTCTTTTCATCTGGGTCTGTAGTCTACTTGGCTGTGCACCAAGGAAATTTTATGTAAATGTTTGGGGTAGGTCTGTGTAGTTAGTTTCTATCATTTTTCTTAGTAAATGCTCCACTGGGTCGTATTTTCACTATGAACAGTACATGGAACAAATACATTACAATAAGACCAAAAATCTTACAGAATGTGCTCCTGTTTACAGAATGTGCTCCTCCATTTACTTTTGGTCTTACTGTAAATCTAGACCTTATTCAGAGTTGACATTTTTCCTCTCTTCAGCTCCCTGCCTTAGTCTTGCCAGCTGTTGTCAGCCATTGCTTTTTCATGAAGCAGTGTAGGTACCTTATTGTGTAGGCTTCTTGGCTATTACCAGTTCCTCCTGTGCTTTTCTGTTTTTAAGCATATTCTTTACTGAGAATATTATTTTCTTTTTCTTTTCTTTCTGTCTTTTTTTCTTTCTTTAAAAATAAAAAACAAACAAAACAAAACAAAACAAAAAAGCCCCACAAGATTTCAGTGTAGCCCAGGCTTGTTTCAAACCCATATAGTTGAAGATGACCTTGAACTCCTGACTCCTGACTCCTGACACTTCCGCCTTTACTTCCCAAGAGCTAGGATTATAGGTAGGTGCCATCACACTCAATGAGCCTCATTTTCTAAAAGGTACCTTTTTCCTACCCTTTTCTACGAGGTAGAGTTTCAGGAAGCAATGTTTTAGGCCTAGTACAAAGATGACATGGGTTTCAAAGAATAGCAAGCCCTCCAAATGTGCATGTTATTCATGGTTGGCAAGTCTCCCAGATCTTGCTAAACCTTAGCTGATTGTGTAATAAAAGCTTCATTTCTGTTTATTAGAGCATTTCCATGTGAAAATGCAGCCCTGCGTTCTTTCTTTTTTTTTTTTTTTTTTTTTTTTTTTTTTTTTTTTTTTTGAGAATTTCGAGACAGGGTCTCTCCGTAGCCCCAGCTGGCCTGGAACTCACAGAGATCCACCTGCCTCTGCTTCCCAGGTGCTGGGATTAAAGGCGTGCACCTGGCTCTTTCACTTTTTTTCATCATTATTATTAAAGATGGCATTAAACACACTGGAAACTGATAAGCGCTTCATCACAGTAGCAAAGTACATGCATTTGAGAACCAGAAAGACCTTGATTAGAATATTGACATCACCAAACTATTCACCTTGTAACCGTGAACATGTTTTGGTGACTTTGCTATATTTAAAGTCATCTGTAAAATGAAGAAACTGACTGAAGATACATTTTCATTTTGTGAGGAGTAGATGAAATAGCATGTGTAGCTGAGCACAGATCCTGGGACCTGGAAACAATTAAGAAATGTGTGTATTATTTTTTTTATCTATACTGAGTTCCTTCTGTGTGTCAAGTATTATGCTGAATATCAGGAATATAAGACAAGAGACAGGCCCTGTCCCCCAGGATCTCATCATTCAGTGGTTTGGAACTATTTGGAGAAAATTTAAATACCAACATAATATAAGTACTATTTTTTTTTATTTCTATTTTTTACAACATTTCCCAATCAACTCTAGACCCCCCCTCCCCCATTCATGCCTCCTCCCATCCCCCCACCAAACCCTATGCACTCTGCCATATAAGCTGAGTCCTATTCATTCAGGTGTTTATACTCAAGTGACCTTCAGTGTAAATGTGTCCACTGGAGTCTAGTCGGCCCATCTAGAGGTCATATGTAAGTCATACTCTCCCTCAGAGAGTCTCAAATAGTTCTTAATCTAGTGCTGGCCCACCACCTGTTTTTCACCTCCCCTTTGGGCCCTTGTTTCATTGAGCTGACATGGGTCCCAAGCTCAGTGCTACCATTGACACAGGCTCACATGGGCAAGCCACCAGTGGCCTGGAAGCCTCCACCCCCCTGTGTTTATGAACCAGCCCGGGCTCTTACAGTCTTTCCACCTCCTCTTCTGCAATGGTCCCTGAGCTGAATGCTGAATGGTGGATAAGGTTCCATATAGGAGTCTCATCCTACACTCTAAAGTCTCTTATTCTCCAAAATTTGGCCAGTTGTGGCCTTCTGTGTGCATCATACTCTGCTGTACAAGGAAACCTCACTGGTGAGAGTCGAGGGATGCATTAGCCCTCTCTCTACCCCTTATTCTGCTATGTTCTGTGAGCCTTAGTTGTAGAGATTCGACTGCAGATGTGTCGTCTAGTGCTGGGCATCTCCCAGACACATGTTCTCTGTGCCTAAACAGATGTGCAACTCTGCAGTAGCCTCCAGCTGCTGCAAAAAGAAGCTTCTTTGATAAGTGCTGTATGGCATACTTGTCTGTAAATATAAAGATTGATATTTAGCTTATAGTAAGTAGTTTCTTTTGCCTTGAGATATGGAAGAAATAGGGTTTTCTCCAGGGTCTATGTCCTCTCCTGCCATGTATACTTGTCTGAGTTTATAGTGCTACCCATGAGTTCCCTCCCATGGGGAAAAGTGATGTCCTCAAAACTGTATGAGAAATGCACATAGAGTGTCTGAACATAAATGCATATAAGAAGTATTATTAAGAACATAATGTAGCTATGGAGGTGACATCATGTGGTTGGTTGCATACCCCTTCTGGCATGAGGTGGGTGCTGAGGATTCAGCTGCAGGCTACCTCCAGTGCCTCAGGATATAGCCACCCTCAGTGTAGGCAGCTTGCCCAACCCCAACTGATCCATGGTGGCACAGGGCAATAGGGCGCCATTCATTAAGAGAGAAACTGACACAGTGGAACTAGCTGAACTGGGTCCCCTGCTGGAAGAGAAAGGCAAGGAGGTAACCACCAACCCAACTAAGGCTGAGGAAAGCAAACATGACCAGTGCCTTGGGAAGAGGAGGTACGGGTACTGACACGTCTCCTGAAAGCCCACCGTGCCATGGAGGAGTTCGTATACAAGGTCTGGGAGGAATGTTGGAGGGTCATTCCATATGATGCACTTCCCGACTACCTGAAAGACAGTGACTACCTGCTACATGGCCATAGATGACCTATGCCCTCCTTTCAGGCTTGCTTCAAGAGCAACTTCTGTATCCACACAGAAACTGGCAACATCTGGACCCATCTGCTTGGTTTTGTGCTGTTTCTCTTAGGGAATCTTGACCATGCTCAGACCAAATATGTACTTCATGGCTCCTCTGCAGGAGAAGGTGGTTTTGGGAATATTCTTTTGGGTGCCGTGCTCTGCCTCAGCTTCTCCTGGCTCTTTCACGCTGTCTGTTGTCATTCGGAGAAAGTCTCTCAAACTTTTTCCAAACTGGACTATTCAGGGATTGCCCTACTGATTATGGGGAACTTTGTCCCCTGGCTCTATAACTCCTTCTACTGCTCCCCACAGCCATGCTCATCTACCTGTCTGTCGTCTGTGTCTTGGGCACTTCTGCTATTATGTGGCACAGTGGGATCTGTTTGCCATTCCTAAGCACCAGCAGGCAAGAGTAGGAGTGTTCTTGGGACTTGGCTTGAGTGGTGGTGTGCCCACCATGCACTTTACTATCCCTGAGGGCTTTATCAAGGCCACCACAGTAGGCCAGATGGGCTGGTTCTTCCTTATGGCTGTGAGTTATACCACCAGAGCTGACTTTTATGCTACTCTGATTCTTGAGCGCTTCTTTCCTGGAAAATTTGACATATGGTTCCAGTCTCATCAGATTTTCCATGTCCTGGTGGTGGCAGCAGCTTTTTTCCACTTCTGCGGAGTCTCCAACCTTCAGGAATTTCTCTACGGCCTAAAAGGTGGCTATACTGATGGCTCCCTTCTCTGAGCCTTCTCACCTGAGGGGTAGAGAAGGAACTTCCTAAGTGCTTTAAAAAAATAACTTCTTTGCTGAAGTAAGAGGAAGAGTTTGAGTTGTCTGTTTCTAGAAGAAACCTCTTAGAGAATTCAGTACCAGTCGTTTTGGCTCACTTTCACAGCCACTAGGCAATAAACTTTCCATTCCTTGGCTGAGGGGCGTGGGGGTGGTCAACACAGCTACCCCCTCCCCACAGCCACTTTCTCAGTAAGGCAACTACTGGTCCTTCATGGATAGGACTTTGAAGCTCATGTTGAGATTTCACCCATTCCTCCAAGCATTTGGGGGGAAAATATTATGGACTGGGATTCTTCAGAAATTGTTTTTTTTTTTTTCTTGAAAAAAAGAGCCCTCCTTTACCCCCATCCTTACTTTGTTACCTGGCTTATAACAGGCCATCCATTTTGTAACACACTTTTCAAAAACAATTATAACCTGGTCCCATCTTTATAGGGTGTGCTTACATGGCAGGGAAAATAAAGCCACCAACTTTTATGTAGCCCAGCTAATCATGGAAGTATGTCCAGGCTTCAAATAACTTGAGTTTAGATTTTTTTTCTTGGCATAGTTATGTAAAATTAAAATGGGGAAGATATTTAATATTTAATATTAAGCTTTAAAAAGAAACCTATCATTGCTAGGTATCTTGATGCAAAGATTATGATGATAATAAAAGTACAGAAGGAAAAAAAAGAACTTACTAAACTTGGCTAGTTTTTGAATGTCAAGTGACATTTTTCTCTCCAATTGAGAACTTTCATTCAAAAAATGAATTATTTTGGGAGCTGGAAAGATGGTACAGAGGTTAAGAGTGCAAACTACTCTCACAAAAGATCCAAGTTTGGTTCTCAGCACCCATGTTGGGTGGCTCACAACTGCCTGTAACTCCAGCTCAAAGGGATCCAGTGCCCTCTTCTGGCCTTTGTGAGGACCTGCATTCATGTATATATGCCTGTACATAGATATAAACACATACACATAATTTTAGAAAATAATAATGCATCTTTTTAATGGATTGCTTTTATAATAAAAATTAATGACAATTACAGCAAATAGCTGCATTTGAGGTATATGAACAATACCATGAAAATGGCAGTAGAAGGAACACTGTCTTGTTGGAAGTGCTGGCACCTTAGCCTTTGAATCTTTGCTAGATTTTCCCCAAAGCGTGCTCTAATGTACATGTTTTGCAGGAAATCAGACTCACTGAGGCAGGGTCTCTCAATCAGATCCAGACAGCTCAGAGATATGGCTAGTCTAGCTAGCCAGCTTGTTCTGGGGGTTCCCAGTTTCCCCAGACTGAGACTGGATTTACGGGCAGGCCACCAGGCCTACCTGGTATGTGTTGGATTCTAGGATTCTGAACTCTGGTCCTCATGCCCGGCATAAAAAGCACTCTGTCTTGAGTGGTTTGAGTAGGTTGAGAGTGGAATGATTTTGAAATGCCATAATTGGAACTGACTGCCTTTTGATATGAAAATAGGCATTGCTTGATTCATTTTTGTTCACATGAGTAACTGAATTCTAGCCTTCCCTGAGTCCTTGAACTTCATGAACTAAAGAGGAAAGATTTTGAAGCCCATTCTTGGACAATAAGCCCTTAGAGAGATTTGTGGGAGCTGGAACCAATTTACATAAGCCTTTCGCTCCAAAGGCCTATCCACCATGGAATTTCTGCTATGGAATCCCTGGTTTGTTTTCAAGCTGAGTGTCAATTTAGACCTGACCTTAAGATTTCTCCTAAATTGTTATTTGCTTTTCAACTAAATTTATGAATTTCAAGTTTATGAAACACTGCTGTTACTTTAGCCAATTTTAGGAATCATCCAGAAAATCTAAAATTGTTCCCTAATTCCAAGAGTCTAAACATTCTTACTGATATCAAACTAAAAAAACCATATATAATTTTATCTAATCTTCTTTCCTAGTAATTTATTTTTAAAGCGAAAAATGAATAGGCCAATTGCCACAGTTTAGTTGTGCCAAACTGTTTGGCTTTAATTACACTGGTGATGGAGACACTTTGCAAGCTGTGGAATCTGCTCTGTTTGGATCTGACAGCTGGCTGTACTCAATCTCTTGGAGCTTTTTATTTTGCATGGGATTGGAGGGTGGGAACAGCAGTAGAAGAAAGCAGGCCACTTTATTGAATAATCTGTGTTTGCTTGCTGATTCCAGTAATAGCATTGCACAGCTATTTGAACAGCTGCTTTTTTATTTCCTTTTGTTTACTGTTTAAGTTTTTTTAAGTTTGCCTGTAATATTTGTTTGCTCTTTAGTGTCCCTTCTTCATTAAATATATTTTACTATGTTCTCCTGTAGCCTGTGCATATTGTGATGATGTAAGCTAATTTTCTAAAAAAAAAATTGCTTTTTAATTTGCAGGTCATACTGAAGGCAGCTTATACTTTCTTGTCCCGTAGCTTTAATATTGTAGTTAAATATTTTATAATTCAGTAAACACGTTAACTTTTGAAATTAAATTAAAATTTCAATCACATTAAACCATAGTTTTTTAACTTCCCAAGACTGCTAATAAGTAGCTTAGTCTACATACTCCAGGCAAGTTTAAAAAAACTAAACATTATAAAGTATGTAGATTTTTGTTTTGCTGCTTTCTGTAAAAATCAGAAAGTATATACTTAGATACAAATTTAAAAATTATTTTTATCAGGTTTATTTATTGGTCTTCTTACTTGGTTTATTTGAGAGGACATGCTGTAAATTTCTCCATACTGAGTGAGCATTTTATTCTGTATTTATACACAGGTGAGAGACCTGTGCATTGCTTATATGCTGGTGACATTGACTTACCTTTATATTGGAGTCCTGGTTTTTGCCTCATTTCCTTCACCTCCACTATCCAAAGACTGTATTGAGCAGGTAAGGTACTGTGTACCATCTAGGTGACTGTTTATAATTCATATATATAGTAGGCAGGATGATACAGTAGCAAGATAAAATCAGTCTGCCTGGATTTGAATACTACCTCTACTATCCACTCAAAATATGTAAATTTTGGTACCTTCCCCATCCAAGTTTATATACTCCATTTTATTGATTCTGAAATAATGTACTGCATACCAGGCACCTTGCAGTGCTCAAATAAATTACTATTATCATGTATATGTATTTCTCCTTGTATAGAGAACCAGAAATTCTCATGAATTTCTGAAAACTCCACAGAGAATCCACTGAAGTCCCTTATTTACCAGAGCCTGGATCTGGAAATGCCCTGAATAAACTGGTCTTAATTCCTCAGTCTTTAACAACAGATCCAACTCATTTAGAGACTTGAGTAGCAAGCAGCAAAACAAAGACAGACTATTTGGCTTTAAAAGGGAGAGCCAGAAACAGTAAGAGAAAGGAGAGAAAAAAAAAAAAAAAAACCTTCACAAAAAAAGTTGCAATGAGTAAAATTTTCTTGGATTTAATATATCAAAAACTTAGAAATTAGGGGCTAGAGAGATGATGGCTCAGTGGTTAAGAGCACTGGCTGCTTTTTCAGAGAATCTGCGTTCAGTTCCCAACACTCACATAGCGACTAACAGTGGTCCATAACGCCAGTTCCAGGGGGATCCAATGCCCTCTTCTGACTGCCATGGGCATTGCCAGGCACAGGTGCACTGGCAGTGTATGCAGGCAATACACTCATACACATAAAATAAAAATAATAAAAACTTAGAAATTGTGAAGTCTCAAGTATTTTGAAGATTCTTGAGAACAGCATTTTGCAGGTGATTTTCTAATCAGAAGAAATTCCTCTAGGAGTCAAATGGAATATATAGTGTGATTTAAGCCAGATTCAAGGCTTACATCAGCAGTGTTAGTAATGTTTTCATCTCTGTGAGACAGAGGTTATTGCTGTTGTGATAGTTGGAAACATTCTCATCTTCCTGATGGCATTGTTGCAGTTCTTTGGCAGCCAAATGTTTGCTGAAACATTCCCTGATACGAACAATCCCGCATAAAGCCCACTCTCCCGGAAATAGGAATATTTGTGGTATTTATGGTTGAAAAAAAAAAAAAAAACTTCTGATTTAGTAACTTTTTTGGATACGCAAAAATGAAGAAAATAACCATAAGTCTAGAAATAAATCCTTTTCTACTGCTAGACTGTAAACATTGATAGCACCGAGGGACAGATACACTCTTGTCTTATTTGAAAGTGCTGCAGTGCTACAAAGGAGGAAAAGCAAGAGAGCTAGTGTTCTAGCTTGCTTTCTGTTGTAATAAACAGCATGGCCGAAAACAGCTTAGGGAGGAAAGGGTTTATTTCATCTTACAAGTCTAGTGTCAAGGAAAGCCCAGGCAAGAACTCAAGACAGGAACCTGGAGGCAGAAACTGAAGCAGAGACCATGGAGGAACATTGCTTACTGGTTTGCTTCTGCAGGCTTGCTCAGCTACCTTTTGTATACAGCCTAGGCCCACCCGTCCAGTGACAGTGCCACCCTCAGTGGACTGGACCCTCCTACATAAGAAACCAAGAAAATACCCCCACAGACATGCCTACGGGCCAATTTAATGGAGGACATTCCTTAGTTGAGATTTCCTCTCTCAAGTGACTTGAGTTTGTGTGAAGCCGACAGAGAACTAGCCTGCATAGCTAGTAAAGATAAAATATTGTTGAATTTAATTTTCCGTTTAAATATACTAGAAACAGATTTGCATTTTGAACTTGAACTTTATAGAGTAATGTTTCTTGATCAATCTGTGGTGAAGAACAATTTTTCTTACTGTTCTAATGTCATTTACAGACCAGAACTTCTATAAACTAGAATAAAGTATGCTAAAAATGCCAAATTTTTATAAAAGTTTCTAAATGTATGATTTTGGTTTCTGTACTCACCTCATTGACAAATAGTTAGCAAGCAGTTTGTAGATGGGGAGCAGCTCATAAACCACTATTTGAGTATCACCTGTGTTCAAAATAAGCAGAAAACACTCCATTTTATGAATTTGAATGTACTGAATTTGAGTTTTAACGTGACCTCATTATTTTTCTTGGATTAGAACTTTTTAGACAACTTCCCTAGCAGTGACACCCTGTCCTTCATTGCAAGGATATTCCTGCTGTTCCAGATGATGACCGTATACCCACTCTTAGGCTACTTGGCTCGTGTTCAGCTATTGAGCCATATCTTCGGTGACGTTTATCCTAGGTAAGTGTTCTTCTCTTGACTAGCAAGATGTTCCAAGCAACACATGACTTTGCGAACAGGTCAGTTTAAAGTGTGACTGATCCTTTTGCTATAAAAATTGGCCTAATGAAAATGGTTACTAAGAATAGATTACCATGTACTTTTCCCAGAAGAGTTTAAATATAGAAGCCATTCCCTTGCCCAGAATGATTTACTGTTCATTCTTAGCAGGATAGTTAGATAGTTCTGACACCCATTAAATTTATCTTATGATTTAACTGCTATTAAAAAGTATGCCTTGCTAAGAAGTTATAGTACCCATGTTGGCATGTGTGCTATTGAGAACCAATATTTTTAATTATTGGTCATTAATACTTGTATGATTATTATTACAGTTGTACATTTTCCCAGAAATGGTCAGTTTACAATTGAAGGTGAGACATATAACAAGTTTAAATTGTTATTTTATATATAATGGTTTAAATTACTATGATAATTTTAACCCCATATTGGGCATGGATGAATTGTGAGTCCTTTTGATAAAAATCTACCACAGCTAGTTTCCTTTATCCAAGAGAGATTTCTGCATAGTGTCATATAGTTTCAGGGCTTCCCTAAAGCTTTCTTGGGGATCCCTGGTTGACTCTTAGATTAAATGTTACCGTAGGTTCATCCTAGTGAAAAGTACCTACCCATTTTTTATTGGGAATAAGCTTTGGGGTATGTGGGGGCGGGGGTGTTGTATTTGTTTCAGACAGTGTGTCACTATATAACCAAGGCTAGTCTGGAACTATTCTGCCTCAGCCTCCCAAATGCTGGGATAATGGATATGAACCCCCACATGTTACCGAAATAAATATCTTAAAGGAAGAAAACTTTTTAATACAATTAGGAAAAAATTGCATTTATAGTAACATACTAAACAAGTGCTCTAATTAGTTCTTGTTTGACGTGATGTAGTCTATCCCCTCATTAAATAATTTTTTTTTTTTGTCTTTTTGAGACAGGGTCTCCCTGTAGCCCCAGCAGGCTTGGAACTCACTGTGTAGACCAGGCTGGCCTCAAACTCACAGAGAGCCACCTGCCTCTACCTCCCAAGTGCTGGGATTAAAGGCATGAGCCACCATACCAGCTCATTAAATAATTTTATCTATAAACATATTTATTTAAAAACAGCAAAAATCAAGAGTTACCAGGTACCTCGCATTGATTACAGCAACGAGCTACAGTTCTAATACTGCTAATCTAGAAAATTGGAGTTCAGGAAATAGAAAGTTTCTGTTAGGTTACTGTATTACATCAGCTGTATTTGTATGCACCAAAACAAAATAAATTCCGTGAAGTCATGGATGAAAAATTTCTAGGGAAATACATTGTCCCTGTCTTCTTCCACCATTTTATAGAATGGTGGCTGTTAGAAAGTTTTTCTTCTTGGAAAAAAATCTGAGACTTCCCTTTCGTGTTCACATTGTATTTCTTAAGACCCCATCACAGGACCACACTATCATTTCTCCTAAAGTTACTTGCTCTGCAGACTGTGTATACTTTTTGGACTGAAGACTTCTTTATGCTCTTAAATTTATTGAAGATTCCCAGGAACTTTAGTTTTCACAAACACATCTATGAATATTGCATAGTGATACATACTTTGATCTCCCCTACTTGGGAGACTGCAAGGAGAATCTCAAGTTCTGTGAGGCCAATGTAGGCAACATAGGCAGCATTAGTGAGCCCCTATCTTAAAAAATAAGAATAATAAAACCATTACTTGTTGACATTAATAATACTTTTTTATTTTTTTTAATATCTTATTATTTTTATTTTATGTGTACAAGTGTATTGCCTGCATGTATGTGAGTTCACCTGCACCCATGTCATGCAATGCTGCGGAGGTCAGAAAAGGGCTTCAGATTGCCCTGGAACTGGAGTTAAGAATGGTTTGTAGCCGCCATGTGGGTGCTGGGAATCGAACCTAGGTCCTCTACAAGAGCAGTCAGTGCTCTTAACCACTGAGCCATCTCTCCAGCCCCGACATTAATAATACTCTTATGAAAAATAAATAATTCCCCTCAAAAGTTTAACAGTTTAAAATTCTTTAATGTCTGCTTTTCTGGTTGACAATTGAACTTTGTTTTCTGCATTGTCAGTTATACTGTTATTTCACTTAAATATGTGAAGAAAATCCAATCTCATATAGATATATAGTTGAAAAAGAAGAGATACTTTTTATAGCCTTGTCAGATAATTGTAAATATTCTTCTTTGATGACATGAAGAAATTTGACACTGTAGTTCCCTATTGTTTGCACTGTACAATCTGAAACTTGGTTACTTTAAAACCTGTTGATTTTCCTGTGGTTCTCTCTTCCTGAATTGATTTTGTAATATTGTGTTTGGTCAATATTGGTTTACAGAGTTCTGTAGATTCCCCCAGTGTTCACATACCTCATTGTACATTATTAAAACTCACATTCATTACTATCACCACCAATTTCACCCTCAAAGTCTTTATTAGAAAACTATCAATTCAAGATGGTAACTGCAAGTTCTCTAAAATCCTAGTTTTTATTGAAAGCTCAATTGTTATCAGCAACAAATACTGTCGTTTGTTTCCCTTAAATGATAAGCTCATTTTCATTCATTTAAAGAAAATGTCTGTCCATCACCCAAATGTGGATGCCTATTTGTCTTGTTTCAAGTAAAGGTAGCATTTGTTGGGAACAACAGCTAGGCTGGCCTCCAGCTCTGCTGCAAGCTACTTTTTTTTCCCTCAAGACAACCGTTGTATTTCAGTGCACAGATATGCTTCATCACTTCCCATTTGATCACATAGAATACTAAAAATATATAAACTCAAAGTATGAGATTTAATGAAACTAAGCCTTACTCCTTTGTCAGAGTTCTTCCTACTCCTTGGATGCTGGAGATCAAACCTAGAATCTTGAACATGAAAGGCAAATGTACCATTGAGCTGCATCCCCAGCCCTCTCATGGACATATTTAATAGATTTTTTTTTCTTTTGAAAATGTTTGACAGTGAAAATACATCATAAAATACAGATGGGTATAGTTATTCTTATCCATTGCTCTTGTAAAGCATATAATGTCTTATATTATTATGAAAACAATTTTTACCTGAAAGGCTGAAAGGGTGGCCACACTTGGAGAACTACTGTTTTGGAAAATACATGAAGGTTTTCCTTTATAATATAGAATAGCAAAGGTTTGGCAAGTTTGAGGTCAAATTTCTGAATAAATAATGAAATTTTGAAGCCTTATGTCTCTGTAATTTATCAAGATATATGATAACCACTTATTAGCATAAATAATTTTCTTTTATTGTACATTGAACATATTCCCTCATCCTCCACTTGGTTTCTGGATTTTCTTATTTAGTGAAAAATCAGCTTTTTTTCCAAATGGCTTAGGTAATTTTTGGCTACATAATTAATGATGTTGTTTTTAATAATTTTTACTATATTCTGTCTGGTGAATTGTTGCTTTCCTGTATTTACAATTTCCTTGTTGTTTTCTATAAGCTTCCTTATGTTAATAGCTTTCTTCATGGTTTTGTTTTCTCAAGATATTCCAAATAGAATTATAGATAGAATGTGTACTCTGATACTAGTTTTCACCTCCAAAATTTGCCTTTTTATATAATATATAAAAAGGCCAATTTCACTGTCTCATTACCAGTATGAATAGAATTGCTGTCTTCAGTTTGTGCTGTCAGGTTTAAGACATTTATTTTAAAGATAAGAATGAATTTTATTGTTCTAAAATAATTGTAATTTATGTCTTTTCTTTCCTATAAACTCTGTTCTCACTTTCTAGCATTTTCCATGTGCTGATTCTTAATTTAATTATTATGGGAGCTGGAGTGATCATGGCCTGTTTCTACCCAAACATAGGAGGGATCATAAGGTATGCCTATAAGGAATTATGCTTTTTTGTATCACTGGTCTTTATTTTAGGCCTTTTTGTTGTCATTGTTGCTTTAGGAATGAAATTTCTGAGTTTTTAACACTGGTAGTACTCAGTGTCAATTAAAGTGCTCATTATCAGAAGCATGTGTGGCATCAGTTAAGATGGTTCCATTTTTGCTTATTCCTGGTGGAGAACTGGCTCTAGAAGTTCCAATATCCCTTAGCCTTGGGCACCTTTCTTTTTGTTTTCTTTTTTCTTTTTTCTGTATTCCATTATGTTTCTTTTATCTAAAATAAAGTTATTTTCAATATATATTACCTCTTAGGTGTATCCAGGAAGTTCTTTACATGTCAAGGCCATGTCCTTCCTAACTACTTTAATACATTTCTATTAATATATAAATAGTAGAATATATATGTATATATTCAGAAAGAAAGAGTTTAGGTCCACGATAGCTCTTTCTTTATTACTCTTAAAATGCTGTGACAGGTTGAAGATGGTAGGAATAGAGAGTTTGCTCAGACTGTCATGAGAAGTGAATTCAGAATGATCTGATTTCTTTTCTGCAGTATAGACAGTGGGATTGAGTCACTTTCTTGAAGACCCTTCCCTAAGAGAGTGATAAAAAATAAGAGAGGAGATTAGTAGTCTGATGCCTGTGGAAGATAAAGCCATTCTTCAAAAAGATGGGGAAAGGGAGAAGAAAATGCCTGCTTCTCTGTCATAGGCTCTTGTTTAGGAAGTTTTATCATCTCTTATGATTAAACTGAATTTATCCAGCCCCTCACAAACCTTGAATGGCTATATAAAAATCAAAAATGGATGTAGAGCCATTGGTAGAGTGATTGCTAGCATGCACAAGGCCCTAGATTTTATCTCCAGCATCACATAAACTGAATGTGGTGGTACAGTCCTGAAATCCCCCACACTTAAGATCATTCTTAGCTATATAGCAAGTGTGAGGCCTTCTTGGGCTACATGAGACCCTGTCTCAAAAAACCATCACAGATGGAAAGGCTGTTTCCAAATGTTTCTGAGGAAGTAGCCACAATCATTGAGATAAAGGAGCTATGGAGAGTATGGAGATTGAGGAATGTATAAAAACTCTTTATCAAGCAGATGTTATAAAGACAAGCAGGAAATAATAGTTTGTATTAATTTAAAATGTCAAATAAGTTTAAAACCCAAATGTAGCAACAAATGAATCAAAAGTAACTGTTGCAGTAAGACTAAGTACAATTTAAATTGTATTATATTTACTTTAATTATAAATTATTAGAGAAATGTAAAGTGAATATTAACCCT